AGAAAAGGAAATGCATAAGAAGTCAAATAAACATACATACAAAAAAGTTGAGAGTTGTACCTCAGGAATAGGGGTTGATGATTGAGGTTGAGAATCGACATTTGTCGATATAGTCGCCGATGGATGATCCTGAAAAATATCGAGAATCGAAATCATGTAACAAAATCTTATCGAAATCTAGGAATATAAAATGATGTAAAAAAGGGACTTACGTGACTGGAATGTGTGGTGAGTGTTGTTTGACCCACTTTAGTGACCGTGTTGGAGTCCGTCGATAATGGATTGATGGTAGATGGTTGAACAGATCGAGGACTCTTCGATTTTTGTTTTTGAAATTAGAAATCGAAAAACAACAGAAATATGTTAGAATCCAAATGAATCGGCTATAGACAAAAAGATAGATAAGACAATAAGGAATCGAAAAGAACCTTTGATTTTTTCGAAGATGAAGAAATGGTGGCCGAGTGCTTGTGTTTCCTAACGAAGGCCGATGGGTCTGACTCATCCGAGGACTCCCAGTCCTTCTCCTTCTCTGAGGCAACAATCTTAGAAGGCTTTGAAACTGTCGAAAAAAGAAAACAATTAGCTTACAATATAAAGAAATAAAAAACATTCCTAGAAAAGGCAGCAAAATCTCACCAAAAGGTGATGGAGTCAAAATCATGACTCGATCGATATGTACAAGTCAGGGAGGAAGAAGAATTTGAGGGAGATTTAGGTAAGGGAAATAAGACAATTTCGATACAAAAATGTCCTTGTTTTTAGGTTTGGGACTGTTAAGGTTCCAACATAAAACCAATTGGCAATATGTGGAGTAGTCTAACATGTATTTAAACCATACCAAATGATATGAGGTAGGCGATGTGGGACTTTCAACACACCCCCTCCAACGAAGCCTGCCGGACCAGGCAAAGGGTACTTTTGACCCATCTAAAGGACAACTTTTGGCCCATGACAATAACCGGAAAAGATGTTAGGCTTTGGCTCTGATACCATGTTAAGGTTCCAACATAAAACCAATTGGCAATATGTGGAGTAGTCTAACATGTATTTAAACCATACCAAATGATATGAGGTAGGCGATGTGGGACTTTCAACAGGGACGAAGAGTTTCTCTTAGGGATCTCAGTTCTCGAACCCATTTGGGATGAGTTAAAGGTTTGGCAATCCCAAAAGGTGTTGTAGGAAAAGTGGGAAGGTGATCGGGACAATACATTTCAAATGAGGTTTTACCTCAAGGATTAATTATTTTGTGATTCGATCGGTTAGTGTCTATCTTATTGGCTGAGGAAATAACAGCGTCATAAAAGGTCGATTCTAATTTCAAAGGGTTGTAACAAACTCGATAAAAATTCTCGAATCGAGATATTTGAAGATAGTGGGAGTGTGTACATTTCTTCGCCTTTGATTTGTCCTGCAACACAAGAGAAGGATGAGCAGTCAATTTTTGTCGGACTTCGTCAAAATCAGAATGATTACTCGAGAACCAATCGGGCCACCATTGAGAGAAACTCAGGGTTGATAAATAATTAGACTAAAAAACATAAGGATAAAAATGCATCAGGGTTTTTGGTAGCAATTTGGTGAGCTCCCGTCCAATTATCGATTCACTTAACTTGGACTTTGGGGAGGTATCGAGGGGGAAAAAAGGTAAGGCTTGACTCAAACCAAACTGCCTCGAGAAAAGTTGGGGGTAATAGGTGACAAGCTTAAGATCCTTTGAGTGAAATCCAGACACTAACACATCGTGAGTCAAATAACCGCTCCATATTTCGACCAATTCCGATCGTAGCCCCGGAGTAAGAGCAGGAAATCTCGATTTAAACCACGTTGGTCCTCGAAGTTGGTCACTTATTCGTCCGAGATTCACAGGTGAAAGGAGCCAAAGTTGAGTCAAAATGAAACCTAGTTAACAAAAACTTAAGGTATCTACGATAAGTCGCTTCGTCGGGTTTGTGGCGAGGATGGCGAGAAGATAATCGAGCACCCTCTAAATCTACACTTGGGGGGATGTTGGAAGTTGGGGGAAGGATACTCTCAAAAATCGAATTCAGCCATAACTGGATAAACCAAATGGGGCCTGAAAAAATCTCCGAAGCTCTGGGGGTATTCAAAATCTCGACAGCCTCATCTAAAGCAGTATATACATGGGATAATAAAAGTTTGGCTAAACAAATTCTAGGCTGGCCGGTGTGAAGGAGATAGGCAATGTTATACAGGTGGGATGAAATTTGGATGGATCGGGGGCAGAAGACGTGAGTGCACAACCAGTATACCAAGAAAGCAACGTGCTCCTCATCAGAAACAGAAACTGTTGGATCATCGATAAAATGCTTCTCGAGAAAATGACCATAGGCTTTCGATTCCCAATCGATTTTTGACCTTAGGGAATTATCCGAAGGAAAAGCACCCTTATAGTACTTCTCCCCTGTGGGCTTCAAACCAGTAATTGCAGCGACTTCGAAAAGGGTGGGCGAAAGGGGACCACAAGGAGTTCTAACGCATTCAGGTCCTTATTCCACAAATGTACAGCAGATAGAAACATAGACATATCCAAAAATGACAAATCGCATCGAGATAAATGCAAAAAATCGAAAATCCCCATGTCTCTCCAATGGTTCCCAAACTTAGTCTTAACCCTATCAAACCACCTAATGTACAAGGGTTTTTTGGAGGGGGGGCCCGTTCGGTACACTTTAGATACAACATTCAGAAAGTCTATCCGAACTTCAGATTGATGAATGAGAGCCTGGCTCTTTGGAGAAAGATTGAGGGAAGAAAAAGTTCCGTCACAAGAACGAATAGGACCCCTAAAAGCATAAGTTATATTATCAGCAATATAAGGGATGAGTACCTGCATCTCAGCGACTTTCTGAGAAGCTTCCTCCATTACAAGAACCGGAGCAAATGTCTTGTTGTTGATCTCCAGCAGGTTAGAGGCCAACGAGGGAAGTGGTGGGGCTGAAAAATCAGAAGATTTGGAAGAGGTTGCCATTTCAGGAGAGTAGAGGAAAACAGAGGATAGAAGGTGAGGGTGCAAGGTTGAGGACAAAGACGCAAGGTAGAAGATGAAGTTGCAAAAGAGGAGTAAAAGTTCGCGTAAAAAACCAGGGTAAAAGACCAACAAAGTGTTTAAAGGAAAACTATCTAGGGTACTGGTAACGACGGAGGCGAAGGGCAATTAATGTGGCGTATACAGTAAGGTAGCAGACTGATGTGATGGTGACATAAAACCCCAAAAACCCTAAAAAATCCCAGAAACCCTAAAACCTAAGTTATTGTGGGCCTCCAACACGCGAAGGTGAGAATCGTTGAAAGAATATAAACAGAAACTATTTATATTCTTCCAAGGGGGCCTTTTGTTAGTGAGAAATCGATAAAGGGATCGAGAAACAAATGGGAGCAAAAAATCGAAAACCATTTTGATTGAGTTAAAGACTGATAAATCAAAAGATAGTTGGAAAATACGTTCGACGACCATGTGACAATATGATCGAGAATTAGAATCGAGAAATCGAAGGAAGAATGTTTTCGAGAAATTAAAATTTTGTAATGTTAAGGTTAAGAAAAACCAAGAGCAATTCAAAGTTCTCGAGATCAAGAGATCAAAATCAAGAGGAAGGCTAACCTGCGTGAATATCGAAATCCCGGCTAGGTCATAAAGAGGGGAACAGTTAAACGCGCACATAGGAAACAGTTTCTAAACCGTGACAGAGGTCGAAGATCATGGGAACGTGGGTGCAGTTTTGATACCGAAGAAGAAACTGCAACATGCACGTAGGACGTGGTAGCAGTTTTCGTTAACTGCTCCTAAGAGGTTACTTGCTTAAAGGAAGCCCTGTTCAATAAGGAAAAGTAGACATCACCACGTTACTTTTGTGAGCTTTTGTGAATTGATGGATATTTTTGGGGATTGCAGTTTGTGGGGGATCATAGAAGTCACAAGCACGCTGTCATCATAAGAATATTATATTAATATTAAAAATGTCATTTATTCCACTAATTATAAAAAAAAATAGAAGCATTTAAATTACATTCCTAATTAGAAAAATTGCTTAACTTGTGACCATTAGTAACTAATTTGGACTGTTTAATATTTGTTCTGAATGTAATATATAAAAATAAAAACAAAGTATGCTTATTTAAAATAGGTTAAATTATAATTGGGTTCATTTTTTGAATTTTCACTTGCAAATTTAATTAATCTATTTTTCCCTATAAACTTAGTTCTTAGATTTTGAAATCTTTCAATTTATTTCCACGTTTGGATTGGTATACATCCTTTTGTTTTATTTTAACATTATTTTATATTTTATTTGCAATTTTTCATTTTTTTGTGACTGGAAAAATTTGTAATATATATCTTCTTTGATTATCGTGACTACTTATTATCAAAATGAAAAAAAAATGTATTCCCATTTAAAATAAGTCGATATAAACAAAATATTTAATAAAATCCATTTTTTAATAAGGTGCACACATATAATTAATTAACTTCCATTCTTACGTTTTTAATGTTTTATTAATAATTTAGTGTCATAGTTGAAACACATTTTTCTTATTGATTCTTATATTGAAAAAATAACATATTTTTGGGTTTATACATTTATTTTTAATCAGTTGTATGAATTTGGACAAACAAACAAAATTGGAAATTATAGAAATAAAAAAATTATTAAGATAAAATACATAAAGAAAAAAAATGTATGATTTTAAGTATAAAAATTAAAAGGTAGAACTTATATAATTATGAAAGTAAATGAATAATATTGACGGGTCGGTTACAGTAGAATGAATGTATGAGTTGCTGTAAACTCGTGTGTTTTATTTTTATGGATAAAAAATTAATGAACGATTGAATCTATTTTTAAAATAGCGAGTTTTTTTTTTTTAATAAAAAGGGAATGATAAAAAAAAAGAAGAAGAAAGGAAACGACAGGTAAGAAATTGGATAAAAACCACATGCTTGTGTCTCCACTCTCTCCATCCATGATTTTCGAATGAAGATTCCATCTCCCTCCAACATCACCGAAGCACTCGAGCCTCTCCTGTCGCCGGACTGCGAGCAATCGGCGGAGGATAGGAGTGCGCCGAATGGGTCAATCAGCGGAGCGGTGTTCAACATATCGACGACCATGATCGGCGCCGGAATCATGTCGGTTCCGGCGACGATGAAGGTGCTGGGGATAATTCCGGGGTTCTTGGTGATCGTTTTGGTGGCACTGATAACAGATGTTACCGTGGAGTTTATGCTGAGGTACACGATTTCCGGTAAATCCACTACTTACGCGGGCATGATGGGTGAATCGTTTGGGTCCGTAGGATCTTTAGCCGTTAAGATTTGCGTCCTCATAACCAATTTCGGAATCCTTATTATCTATCTCATTATTCTAGGTAACTTCCTCATCCTTCTTTTCGAGTTCTTATCTATGCATATTATTGTTATTAATTTTTTTTTTGGTACTCTGCGGTAAGAATTCAAATGAAATGTGTTCTAAGTAAAATAATTTTCTAAAATTGTTTGAACCAAACGATTGAGTAGAAAAAAATATTAAAGAAGAGGGAACTAGTGATTATTTGTAGTCTTTTTTCGTTTTTTACTTGCTCCGTTGGTATTTTGGGTGATTTTGTTCCGGAGAAATGAAAATCAATGTTTCGGCGGCCACGTCAGGATGAAGCAATCCAATAATTGATTTGTAATTATGGGAGTGTGTTAACAAAATTACAAAATATACATATTCTTCTCCCACTACTGTATATGTTTTAAATGATTTTACTAAGATAATTAATTACTTTTATTGAAATAGAGAAAATAATTAATTTAGATACAAATTAAGAATAAACAATTAAGCTATTATTACAAATAGCTCACTTAGTTTGAAATTTTTTCTTAATAAGCTAAAGCTAGTGTTAGTGTGGGACAAATGAAGTAATATATATATATATATATATATATATATATATATATATATATATATATATATTTAATAAAATCATATTTTACTAATTTTGAAAAATTAAAATATCTTTTTAAAAATTGTTGAACTAACCAGGATTTTAGTCTAGATTTTAGAGACTAAAAATATAATTACACCTACATTTAACAATTAATTAAAATTTATTTAAAACTATAAAATTATGAGAAAATTATTAAATGAGAAGTTAGATTTATAAAAAAAAAAATTCTAATAAATTTTACCCTATAATATAAAAATGTGTTTAGACGAGGACGTTAGAGGACAATTAAGCTGTTCATTCCACCACCACATATTCATAGTTTCAATTCATCTTTATATTATATGTATTCAAGTTTTTTAATATATGAAAAAAAATAATACTTGGATTTATATTATGTGAAAATTAACCTAATCTATGTGACCCAGAATTTATTAATAATTTTTCATTAAAAGTATGATGTATGGAGCAAGTTAATTTGGGTAGATTAAATTAATTAAAACAGAGCAGTTTATCTTAGATAAGAAAGCCTCGTTCATGATGCTCAAGTTATTGAGTCACACCAAATCATTCACCTTTAGTTTCCATTGCGTGCTCCATTTTACTCGAGTAATTGGCTATGATTGCAACTCTAATTCCATGATGATTAATCAGAAAGATTATTTGTCTTTCTTTACTAAGCACATATAGTGGTTTTCATAGTAAAAATTTGAACTATGATTCACCATTATTAGAGCCACTCTTGTTGACTGTTTAGAATTTAATATTTACACGAATATTATTTAAATTACAATCAATAGGATGAAAAGAAACCAGAATAGGAATGCCAATGGAAGTTCCTGAAAGTTATAAGTTGTGTTTTATTGTAAGTTCATCTTACCATGGTTCTAAAAACAAAGTCAAGTATGAATGTCACACTCCTAGTAATCATCTTTGTTGGCAAAATTTGGGTCATGTATATATATGATACATATTTAAATGTGTTAGGGTCATTATTTATTAAGCCAAATAATAAAGTGATCTGAATAAATTAATGTTTTGGCTAAAGGCATATGTCATGAAAATATGATTGTGTAGAGACCATAGAGTAATTTTTAATTTGATGAGGGGCCAAATTGAAAATACTAAAACTTAAGTAATTAACCTAATTTTGGTTATATAAAGGGTCATGGTCCCCTTCTGAGAGCACACAGACAGAATACAGATACAATCCCGTTCTTTTCTTTCTATCCCCATCAAGAGAGAAAATCCATAGGGAAATAAAGGTGCTCTTCAGGTGGAAGACCATAAGATCAACTCAAAGGTGCTCTACAAAGAATATCATCATTATGGCTAATTCAGAGAAAAATAAAGTTCCAAGTAATTGACAGTTAAAAACATCAAAGAATACGGAAACGGTAACTGAACATAGAAAAATTAGTTGTCGTGTTTAGGTTTCGAAAGTTTTTTTTTTTTTTTTGCTTGTGTTTACTTTCAATGGCGACGACGGGGTTGTATATTCCTTGCCTTGCGAGGAACTTTTTCTAGAAGCCATTCACAATGGAACCATGGAAGGTTTTTACAAGTTGGTTTCCCACTTCCAAACACAATCCGAGCCTGCTTTCTGTGGCCTCGCTAGCTTTTGATCCTGGCAGGAAGTGGAAAGGCCTTTGGAGATGGAGGATTTTGAGGAGAGAGGAAATAAAACGTGGGACTCGCTGCCTTAATTAAAAAGGGAATATGATGATGTTAATGTTGTGGGACCTGCTGCCTTAATTAAAAAAAAAAAAAAAGTCATCTTATGTGGCATTATAGTACAATTTTTTTTTTTTTTAAAGTGGTCCTTGAGACTTAATTTGGTTTAGGATTACCCTTATTAATATATTCAATTTGTTTGATAGTTTAATAATTTTTGTGAGCAAATTGAGTCAAGAAGTTACCAAAGTAACATCTCTTGAATTGGGTAGTTCATGAAAAATATTAAATGTTAGTGTTTGTGTATATTCATGCGAGTATTAGTCGGCCCAAAGGAAGATTAATATTTGGCCGAATTGCATATACACTTGTAATGATAAACATGTGATAATTATAAAGATTAGCTTTGTCGATGATAAATCAATCCAAAGACTGATTTGTTGTTGGACATGCTTTATTGTCAATGTTTGATTATTACAACAAGATACCTCTAGCAGTTAATATTACTGTCCAAAGACTTGATATTGATGGTGCATTGGGTTCTTGAGATGGGTTAAACCATTATTTGAATATATATTTTATTTATAATTTTTTTTTATAATGTGAGCATAATTAGTTTATTTCTTTTGTTCTAATCCAGCTTACAATTGCTTCAGTATTCTGCCAATTTAAATTATGTTCCGATCCTCAAAAGTATATTTCCTACTTTGGTCTGCTCGAAGTCAATTTAGCGTCAGCATCTAGTAACACTTAGTGGTTAGACTCGGTGCAACTACTAACATCAGTGTTTCTATAAAGGGTTGCCTAAGCTACCTAAGTCAATTGATTCTGAAAGATGGATATATGTTGGAGATGGCAAATCGGTAGAGGTGGAAGCCATAGGACATTTTAAATTGTTATTGAGTACTGGTTTTTATTTGGATTTGAAAGACACTTTTGTTGTGCCGTCATTTAGACGAAATTTGGTTTCAGTTTCTTATCCGGACAAATTAGGTTATTTGTGTTCATTTGGAAACAATAAGTTCAAGTATGTCTTTTAATTCAGATATTATTGGAACTGGTTCACTTTTGCCTTATGATAATCTGTATTTACTTGATATCGTGACCACCTATAATGAAACCCTTAATACGTAATCATGGGGTACTAAACGTAAAATTGATGATACTCACTCAGGAGCATTATGGCACAGGCGCTTAGGTCACATCTCTAAAAATAGAGTTGAACGACTTGTGTTAAATGGAATCTTAGAGTCCATTGACTTCACAAACTTTGATGTTTGTGTTGAATGCATTAAGGGCAAACAGACCAAAGCGAAGAGATTAGGTGCATATAGAGCTACAGTACGCCTTAGAGTTGATACATACGGACATTTGTGGGCCATTTCCTACACCTTCGTGGAATGGTCAACAATACTTTATATCATTCATAGACGATTACTCACGATATGCATACTTATTCCTTATACATGAAAAGTCACAATCTCTAGACGTGTTCAAAACATTTAAAGTCGAAGTTGAAAATCAACTCAATAAAAGAATTAAGTCCGTCAGATCTGATCGTGGTGGTGAGTACTATGGCAGATTTGACTGGTCAGTGAATAACGGCCTCGAGACCTTTTGCCAGGTACCTAGAGGAGTGTGGAATTGTCCCACAGTATACCATGCCGGGATCACCTAGCATGAATGGTGTAGCTGAAAGACGAAATCGAACTCTTAAAGATATGGTCGAGAGTATGATTTGTCATTCCACCTTACCGGAGTCACTCGCGGAGAGGCACTAAAGACTGCAGCTTATATTCTGAACGAGTACCAACTAAAGCAACGACCAAAACACCTTATGAGCTTTGGACTCGGGCGACAACCTAGTTTGAAGCATTTCCATGTGTGGGGTTGTCCAACTGAGGCAAGGCCTTATAAGCCAAATGAAAAGAAATTGGACTCCCGAACGGTAAGTAGTTATTTTATTGGTTATGCCGAAAGATCCAGGGGATATAAATTTTATGATCCCACATTAAAGACAATTTTTGAGACTGGAACTGCTACGCTTTTTGAGGATATTGAGTTTGGGGGGAAGAATAAAATCAGGAACTTTGTCTTAGAGGAAGAATCGGTAACAATTCCGAACCGATTCAAACAGCTACTTTTGATAAAGTAAGTTCGTAACCTCCACAAGGCATTGTTAATGAACCCCTTACTCAAGATGATTTGGTTGTTCATGAAGAACAAACTCAAGATCCTCAAGAACCTCGTGCATCATGAGCCAATAACTTTGCGAGATCCACTAGAGAAAGAAGAAGTGCTATTTCTGGATGATTACATGGTATTTCTTCAGGAACATGAAGAAAACAATGGTATGATGGAAGATGACCCAGTTAACTTCCGTCAAGCCATGCAAGGTTCTAACTCTGAAAAGTGGATCGAAGCAATGAAGGAGGAGTATAAGTCCATGCAAGACAATAAGGTTTGGGAACTTGTCCCATTACTAGAAGGTATGAGACCCATTGGTTGCAAGTGGATATTTAAGACCAAACGGGATTCTAAAGGTAATGTGGAAAGGTATAAGGCTCGTCTGGTAGCTAAGGGCTATACTCAAAAGGAAGGGATTGATTTTAAAGAGACTTTCTCTCCAGTTTCATCGAAAGACTCTTTTAGGACAATCATGACTCTTGTAGCACATTATGATTTGGAGCTTCATCAAATGGATGTCAAGACGGCGTTTCTTAATGGCAACATTGATGAGACGATTTATATGGTGCAACCAGAAAATTTTGTGCAGGGAGATTCAAAGAGTATGGTTTGCAAACTGACAAAATCCATTTATGGACTAAAACAAGCATCTCGTCAATGGTACTATAAATTTCATCAAGTAATTCTCTCATTTGGCTTCGAGATGAATATTGTTGATGATTGTGTATATCACAAGTTTAAGGGGAGTAAGTATATTTTCCTGATCTTGTATGTTGATGACATTCTACTTGCCACCAATGATATAGGCATTTTGCACGAAACCAAGAAATTTTTATCAAAGAATTTCGAAATGAAAGATCTTGGTGATGCGTCCTTTGTATTAGGAATTCAGATACACCGAGATCGATGTCGGGGTATTTTAGGATTATCACAAAGGAGCTATATCGAAAAAATTCTTAAAAGGTTTAACATGCATGAATGTAAATTCGGGGATACTCCAGTTGCTAAGGGAGACAAGTTTAGTCTCAATCAGTGCCCAAAGGGGAATTTGGAAATTGAGGAAATGCAAAAGATTCCCTATGCATCAGCTGTAGGGAGTTTGATGTATGTCCAAGTATGTACGCGTCCAGACATAGCATACATAGTTGGGGTTCTAGGCGGATATTTAAGCAATCCAGGAATGGACCATTGGAAAGCAAAGAAAAGGGTCATGAGATATTTAAAGAGAACAAAAGATTACATGCTCACATACGGGAGGTCGGACCAGCTTGGAGATCGTCGGGTTTTCTCGACTCGGACTTTGCAGGATGTCAAGATAGTTTGAAATCCACTTCAGGTTACATTTTCATGTTAGCAGGTGGTGCGGTTTCTTGGCGCAGTGTCAAGCAAACCCTTACAGCCTTCATCCACTATGGCAGCAGAATTTGTAGCATGCTATGAGGCGTCGAATCATGGAATATGGCTGAGAAATTTTGTCACAGGGCTGCAAATTGTAAAAGGCATTGAAAGACCACTTAAGTTATATTGTGACAACAAATCAGCTGTATTGTATTCCAACAACAACAAAAGTTCGACTAAGTCAAAACACATCGACATTAAGTTCCTAGTCGTTAAGGAAAGAGTACAGAGTGGACAGATTTCCATAGAACATTTAGGGACAAACTCCATGATAGCAGATCCTCTAACTAAAGGACTTCCGCCCAAGGTCTTTCATGAGCATGTTGCTCACATGGGTGTTTTACAGTTTGAGGAATTTGTGGTTTAGTGGGAGTTAGTCATTTTCATATATTTTATGTTCTATGTTTAATTTTACATATGTATACATTGTTTTTTGGACATATTTGGTTATCTATAGATATGCGGTTTTCTTGTTCATTCATTACACTTTGTACATTAAGGTTATTATATCGATCTCGATAAGTTAAAGTTTGGACCAGTTGAAAATAGACGTGTACAGATCACCTTCACGTAATTTTTCATGCTACACATTTCATGATGAATCCATGTCGTTTGGTTATGTCGGGATGAGTAATCATTGTTGGTTTTACTTGCGATGATGCAATGAAAAGCTCGGTTTGGTTCTATATCCCGATATGATTAATGGACAGGACTTTCGGAATATGCTAAAGGAATATAATGACAATTTTGAGCTCATAAAGTCTAACACATTTGTAAGGTTGTAAGGACATATATATTTGTGACCAAGTGGGAGATTGTTGGCAAAATTTGGGTCATGTATATATATGATACATATTTAAATGTGTTAGGGTCATTATTTATTAAGCCAAATAATAAAGTGATCTGAATAAATTAATGTTTTGGCTAAAGGCATATGTCATGAAAATATGATTGTGTAGAGACCATAGAGTAATTTTTAATTTGATGAGGGCCAAATTGAAAATACTAAAACTTAAGTAATTAACCTAATTTTGGTTATATAAAGGGTCATGGTCCCCTTCTGAGAGCACACAGACAGAATACAGATACAATCCCGTTCTTTTCTTTCTATCCTCATCAAGAGAGAAAATCCATAGGGAAATAAAGGTGCTCTTCAGGTGGAAGACCATAAGATCAACTCAAAGGTGCTCTACAAAGAATATCATCATTATGGCTAATTCAGGTACGCTTTCGCATTTAGTTTATATAACATGTTTACAGTATGAGATTATAGATATATGTTTGATCATTAGGATGAAGATCATATTCAATTAAAGTTTAACCTAACATATGTAGAACTTGATTACATTTCCATACTATTCCATGTCTGCGATACATATAAATCTGATTCTGCTCACTGCCTTTGTTTATGAAGGAGACGTACTGTGTGGAAATGAGTCGAACGGAACTATACACTTAGGTGTTCTACAAGAATGGTTTGGCATCAATTGGTGGACCTCTCGTGCTTTTTCCCTTCTTATTGTTGCCCTCTTCATAATGCTTCCACTCCTTATGTTACGACGTGTTGGTAAGTACTATTACTATCCAAATGCACAAGCAATTAATTGTCTCCTTTGTCTAAACATTTGGCTAATTAAGCATAGCTTGTATCTTGTTTCCTATGTTTATTGTTAACAGATTCACTAAGGTATAGTTCTGCAATATCGATCGTACTAGCATTGGTCTTTATTGCAATATGCTCTTCAATGGCGTTCAGTGCATTGTTGTCAGGCAAAACTCAATCACTAAGGCTAGTGCCTGATTTCTCTAAAGTCACTATCCTTGATCTTTTCACCACTGTCCCAATCTTTGTCACAGGTTTCGGATTCCATAACAATGGTTAGTTTCAAGATTTTATAACTTCTTTTTCCTTTTTCGTTTAATTTGTCAGTTTTGAAGAATTTTTAATTCTGTTTATTTATCTGTTATTATAGCATTGTTGATTATTGTTTTGTTAATTATACTCTGATAAAAGAAGAGAGAAACAAATAGTGTATAAGATGTTAAAGTAATAAATGGGAGAAATAGAGAGTATATGAGGAAATTATAAATAAATTTTAATGTGAATGAGGATTAATTACTTTTTTTATCCATGTATTATAATCTTCAAGTATACTGATAAGAAAAACAGAGGAAGGATTATTAAAATCGATTAATTAACTTTTTAATCCATATAATTATCATTGTACTCGATTAAAAACGATGGATAAATTATAATTTATTCATTTATTTTATATTTGTGAATTTCTCTCTGTATTCAAAAGTTGATTTAAAATTAAAAATGTTTTTTAGTGAAATTTATTGACAAAAAAGTTTATAAGATAAGCTAAGAAATGTGAAATTGCAAGAGTTTCAAGAATAAAGTATCCAATAATTTATAAAACTTCAATTAATACACTTTATTATCCAGAAAATACCTTAGTAATCTCATCAAATCATCCACATATCTCATATGAAATCCCGTCCAACCCTCTGTTACTGTTACTGAGTCAGCATGAGATTGAGCTAAGTGTAAAGAGCACAATGCCAAGTTTGTGTCTTATGATTAACTTAATTACACATATTTTGGTGCAGTTCATCCAATTAGAGCAGAGATTGGAAAAGTTACAGACATGGGTATGGCTGTGCGGATTTCCCTACTAATCTGCATGCTTGTTTACTTTTCGATTGGCTTCTTTGCGTACCTATTGTTTGGAGATTCCATCATGCCCGATGTGCTAGTAAACTTTGACCGAAACTCCAATACCCATGTTGGTCGATTGCTGAATGATGTTGTTAGAATAAGCTACGCACTCCATCTTGCACTTGTGTTCCCCATCATGAACTATTCCTTGAGGGTCAACATAGATGAACTGATTTTCTCAAACAAAAATAAGCGTCCCTTGGCTTCAGACACCCCAAGATTTGTGTCACTCACTTTGTCTTTGCTAGCCCTCACATACTTGGTGGCTGTGGCCATCCCAAACATTTGGTATTTCTTTCAGTTCTTGGGATCCACAACTGTTGTTTGCACCTCATTTATCTTTCCTGCTGCAATCGTTCTAAGGTATGCTACTTTTTTAATTTTAGAAAAAAATTGAATCGGATCGAGCTAAATTTTTCTGATCGATATTCTGCTGAGCGTAGGAACATGCATGGCATATCAAAGAGAAAAGATCAAGTCATTGCAATATTGGTCATTGTTTTCGCCGTGGGGACGAGCGGAATTGCTATATGGACCAACTTGAATTCAGTGGCTGATCAATGATTAATGTTAGCCATGTGTTATATTAGGGTGTCGACAGGTTTGATCAATCCAATAAACTATATGTATATATATATATATATATATATATATATATATATATATATATATTATCAATTCAAATAATTTATTTATTTTTAGTTTAATTGGGTTAAATCTGAATCAAATAAAATAGTTAGGTTTCTAATTTATAACCCGTTAAACCCAAATTGAACAGATGATGTTAAATATTTGTAATGATTTTTTATTTGTTTATAAGTTTTCCTATTGAATATCCTTTTGCAAAAATCTATTCCATTTTTAGGATCATGTGTTTTTTTGTTTTTTGTTTTCCTCAAAATATAATTTGTATATTTGAATAATACAAAAAATTCATTCAATTATAACTAAGTTCTTTTATGTTTCATTTAGTTGCTTTGGTGAAAAATCATAATCAAATTAAATCGATAATTGGTGTGAATTTGATTTTCTCTTATTCCATTCAAACTCACTGTTAGTTATTCTGAATACAGTATTATCAAGCTTTAGGGAAGCCTAATCATAAATCAGAGTGTTCTTAGAAAAATATTTTAACATATGAATAAAGAAACAAGATTTGGTTTTCATAAATTAAAATTACTTTATATATTAGTTAATTTGTAAAAGTTATTTTCTTATAAGTTATTATTTTAATTCATATATGAGGTAATTTTAGCTTAAAAAATATTAATTTCATATTCACTTCAAAGAATATTTATGAAAAAATTCCATCAAAACATATAACTGCATCAAATGATCCTTTGATTTAAAAATTATTAATTTTTAAAGGTGAGATTAAAAACTACTCCTGCATTTCGAAACTGCCCACTGTTTAAAGGTGTAAGTTTTGAGAGATTTAAGTAATTAGAATAAGTATTTTAATTTGTTAAAAATGTATATTTTAAATTGTCATAAGTCACGTATCAATAAATTGGTTATCAGATAAAAAAATTATATTATTGAAAATATTAAATATTTATTTAATTTGAATAGAGCGGATTAAGATTAAGCTGAAGAAGTGAATATTAAGTAAACGAATTAATAAATCAAGCTAAAAATGATCTGATTTAATTAGGTAATTGGATCTAATCTAAATTTTTTTAATTGTCACAACCATACCATACTCATTTTGACAATAAAAATAACAATGATTTCAATGATAATTTTCACTCTAAGCTTTAGTTTTAATGAAATATATAGTGAGAAAAAAAGTTTATATAAATAAGTTAACAATATGTAAAATAGTAATTAAAAGATAGAGTAAAATAAGAATTATAGAATAATTTATAAGTGATAGGTTACAATCTATTGGTTTAATACTTTTTATTATTAAACACCGCAATAAATCTTATTAAAATAAGGAAACTGACCCATGCATAGGTATTATTTGTCATTTAAAATGGGAAAACTAGTAATATATATATAAAAAAAAAACTTATATTATTTCTTGTTGAATAATCAAATAGTGGCATGGTCATTACTTTGGCTGTAGGGGACAAGTGAACTTGCCATATGAATCAAGTTGAATGGTCAGGGTTGATAAGTGATTAACCTAAATGTTATATGATACCCAAGTCTTTTCAAGTTTAAGTTCTTCTCTAGTTGTGAGAATAACTGCATCAATCTGATCCTTAAATTTAAGCTATACATGTTGTATTCAAACACTTAACTGAGACTATCTTTATTTTCTTTATACTTGTTTTAATAGTAATAAATAATTTTTTCAGATTTTAAGGTAAAATCTTAAGATGTGAATGGTTTCAGAAAGGTAAATAAACACTTTAGTTTGAAGCATAAGAACACTAATATGTTATTGGTTTCAAGGAAGTAATTGGCCAATCAGACCCTACACCACCATATTAAGGTTCATTATTATCCACATCCCGTCCAAGTTCATTTTCGAGTCCATGTTCGCCACGTTTCTCAAACATTTCATAAAAAACGTCAGATTCTTCATAATGTCACTCCAACCTGTCACTTACACACTCTTACATTTACAGTTGTACCCTTCTCTCTTCTCCCCCGGAGCCACTCCTTGTCAATTCATCAATGACATTATTGTAATCATTCCAACCTAATTTATTAGAAAGTGATAAATCCAACTTTTTGTACTTTAGCTCTGTACAATACACCCTACACCCTACACTACAAACAATTTTTGTGTATCCTACTCACTATGTCGCCGGTGGCCGGAGCTCACGTCCCTCTCCTCCCAAATTCCAAGAGTGGTGGTCCACCGGCTACAGTTTTTGGTGCGGTGTTCAATGTTTCAAACAGCGTAATCGGTGCCGGGATAATGTCTCTTCCTGCTACCTTGAAGGTTCTGGGTGTGATCCCCGCGTTGGTACTGATTCTGGTTATTGCATTTCTGGCTGAACTATCGGTGGAGTTCTTGATGAGATTCACGCGTGCTGGCCAAACGACAACTTATGCGGGTGTGATGAGAGAGGCCTTTGGAGCCTTTGGAGCTGTAGCAGCTCAAATAGCTGTTGTAATTACTAATCTCGGGTGTTTAATTATGTACCTTATTATCGCTGGTCAGTAAACATTTAACTTTTTAACTTCTTAAAAACAAAGTTTATGCTAAGAAATTCATATTTTATTTGATTTTTCCTTTTAGGAAGTTTGTCTAAACAAGGTTTTAGATGTATAATGAACTAAATTTGAGTTATTTAGACTAATTATGAACGTGTAATTATTATTTAAAGTGTGTTATTTGATGCAATGAGCAGCGGATGTGTTTTCTGGGAATAAACGTGAAGGGGAAGTACATTTTGGTGTTTTGCAACAGTGGTTTGGAATTCACTGGTGGAATTCAAGGGAGTTTGTGTTGGTAGTTATTTTGCTCTTAATTTTGCTTCCATTGGTCTTGTACCGTCGCGTAGGTAAGTTGGCACTTTTAATTCTCTGTATTCTATTAAAGTGATAATATTTATGCTTATGATAGTCAAATTTTTATTATAATTTTTTGCTTGCTTCATGTATATATACTATATATTATACCTGGCATCAAAGTTAAACACTCAGGATTTAGATATTTATCTTAGATTGTTTTATTATAACAAAACTTAAGTGCAGTTATTAAGTGTTTGAAGTGGGGTTCTAGGATTAGAATTGAAGTTTCATCGCTGTAATTTTAATTAGAAAATGATGTATAAGTTTGGTTTCTTTTGTCATTGATATGATATTCGTCGATGTGCATGGATGTGCATAGCACTAACATATTATTTCTTTTTTCATGCATTGTTTGTTGGTTGCAGAGTCGTTGAGGTTCAGTTCTGTAATATCAACTCTTCTTGCTGTGGCCTTCGTGACAACATGTACTGTGTTGGCAATTGTTGCTATTGTAGAAGGAAGAACACAGTCTCCTAAATTGATTCCTCGTTTGGACTACCACACCTCTTTCTTCGACCTGTTTACTGCAGTTCCAGTGATAGTCACAGCTTACACATTTCACTTTAATGGTACTTATCATCACAGTGGTTTTGTTACCCTTCCTTTTTAAAAGATTTGGTTGCCGATGATTGATTATACTTGCATTGCAGTACATCCAATTGGGTTTGAGCTTTCCAATCCATCAGACATGACAACAGCAGTTCGATTAGCTTTACTACTTTGTGCTGTGATTTACTTTTCTATAGGCCTATTTGGGTACCTCTTGTTTGGAGATTCCACACAATCTGACATTCTCGTCAATTTTGACCAGAATGCTGGATCTACCCTTGGTTCTTTGCTCAATGTTTTAGTCCGATTAAGCTATGGATTTCATGTTATACTCACTTTTCCTCTCCTGAACTTCTCCTTGAGAACCAACATAGATGAATTCTTCTTCCCCAAGAAGCCTCTAATAGCCACAGACAGCAAGAGATTTGTGAGTCTCACTCTAGTGCTGCTAGTCTTGAGCTACATTGCTGCTATAGCAGTCCCAGATATTTGGTACATCTTTCAGTTTGTGGGATCAACATCTACAGTGTGTCTTGCGTTTGTCTTCCCTGGTGCTATTGTTCTAAGGTAGTCTATATCTCTCATAACTTCTTCCATTGAAGACTTCTAATATTTAAATAAATAAACAAAACCCCACTTTCTCTGGTTAATGACAGAGATTCCTACGGAATATCAACTAGAAGGGACAAAATCATTGCACTCTTCATGATCATACTAGCTGCAATAACAAGTGTAATTGCTATCTCCACCAACATATACAAAGCTTTTCAGTAGAAGCAGGTGAATTTCTGTTTTATTCTTCTTTTTCTATTTGTTCCCGAGGAGGCAACACAGACACATGGAGACAACACATGGAGGTGTGTTTACTTTATAGGATGGTGTTGGATCTCATTATTACTTGTTTGTTGTAAAATTTGCATACCCGTAGAATACCAAACATGGAAACAAAATAAGATCATCTAGCTTATGTAGATAACTGTGGTTTTTAATCATGTTTATTGAAGTTTAATTTTTAAATTTTAACAATACTCACATGAACTTTTTTTGTATTAAGAGACTCTATCCTCCAAATCCAAAAACTACATTCATTACTTCTACTGTTAAAATATAATGCTGAAAGGTGACAAATTTGGCCACCATCCCCCAAGTGCAAATACACTGCGTGTTAAAGTGTTAGTGGTAGTTCATGTTATTTGTCAGCAGATCTTGTAGCTCAAGTCATCATCACATGTATTTATTAAATTACTCACTGCATTTCTTGTCATTTGTTTTCTGTCATATTCGTGGAGAAGGCACAGCTTAGATGGTCATATATTCACTCCATGTGATATAGGTTTATGTTATGCCACTCACTCTTTCCCAAGTTATAGATATAAATGAAGAGAGAGAGAGAGGGAGAAGACGGAATAAAGACAAATTTTTATGATGTCTGAATATAGTATATATTAAATTATTTTTTTAATATAAGCAGATTTTAAAAATGTTTTTCAAAAATTAGATGGACAATAAGAGTCTAATGGTAATGTACAAAATAAAGGAACTACAAGTTTCCCTTTGTGTCCCTCTTCTTATAACCACAAAAGCACCCTTTGTGATGTGTAACTCCACCTTCAATACACATGAAACCTTTGGAATATGAGGTCCTTCAATAAGGCAGAATGCATTCAAATATGAATTCAAAGTGTTTAAAGAAAAATTCCTTTATTGCATTTCATTGTAATATTTTTTTTTCCTTCTAATCAATTTAAAAGAATAAAAAGGAATGATAAATTTATTGAATTTCATTAGAACATACATAAAAATGGATGCAATGGAATTAATCATTTCATTCTGCATTTATATGTAATCATTTACTGTGAGTATTGCAAGTAAGACGACAATGAAAGCATAGTCCACCCCTGCATTTATTTTGACTCTAAAACTTTCCGTCCATTTGCTGAAGTTGTTCCTTGGGAATACATCAATTACCTGCAAACATGGTAATTTATCTTTGATTGTAGTGAAACACCTTTTTTAGGGGAAAATAAGGACCTTTGCGCTTAAAGATCGAAGTTCAGTCATGTATTCTAAAACCTTTTCATAATTTACTTATTGGAAAAAATTATTTTATTCTTCTCGGCTTATTGAAAAGTTAAATAAGTGAGTTTTTTAAAAAAAAGATACATAAATTAATTTTAATTTATAAGATAAGTTGTTTATTATTTTACTTATTTAATTTAATTCTACAAATACTTATCGGAAAGTATGTTTAATTTGAAACATAGTTAGTTTATTTTGGAGGAAAAGTGGCAAAACAAAAAGATACTCTTATACTACCCACAGACTACTAATATGCTCATTATATAAAATTTTTGAGTAATGATATATGTATAAATTTAATTTTTAAATATGTAAACGATATCTATGATTTCTCTTTATTTATTTATTTTCTATCATATCACATCATCCATAATATTTTTATTCTTTTCACTCCCTAGGTAACTAAGTTTTGAGGTGTGTATGAATGATTTTCCAAAATTTATTGAATTCAACTCAATACAAAGCTGTCGTCGTACTTTTCAGACTCAACGAAGGATGATGAAAAGTGAAAACAGAATATAATATAGATTAGACATTTAATCAGATAAAAAAATTAAAGTATCTTTTGTAATACTAAAAAATAAGGTGGATCGAATCTTAATAAGAACTTACAAAGAGACAGAACGATAATTAAAAAACACTTAAAACAATAAATTAGATTCGAATATAAAAAACGAATATTTAAAATAGGACTCTTACTTTTATTAGCTGACCAAACTTTATATGCCACTTAATGTGATAATGTTTCAGTTTATGATAGTTTCGTAATATCATACAATCATATTTTTTAATTTTCTAAAAAAAAAATCTTGTACATAAATTATTTATAAAAAAATATAAATAGATTGGTAAAAAAAAAAAAAAAAAACTCAAGATTTTAAATCTGCACGATAATTTTGAAACCACATCAACGCACCTCTGCAATGATGGTGTCCTCTTTGTAAACTTTGCAGGAGTTGTCGATGTGGCTCCCAACAAGTTGAAAGCTGCTGATACCTTGGCTGATATTGGTGGCCATGAACACATCGAGCCGTGGGTTCATGTCAAGAGGGTGAGATCGTTGAACCCCAAATATCAGATCCTTCTTCTCCGAGCTTCCTCCTTTATGAACCATCCACCGATGCCTCAGTGATATCAGATTAACCTTCAGCATGTCATCACACAGTCAACGTCTTATTCTATTTATATATTTATATGTCACTTGCAAGTTTAAACCATTAAACATTGATAATCATAACATGAAGATAACAATATGGAGTTCATCACTTGTATACTTTAACCTATTACTATATGATAATGTATTTTAAAAATAATCATATTATGGTATTTGACATAGGTATCAAAGAAAAGAAGGGTCTACCTTCTCACGCATTGTAAGTACAGTAGACCCAGCAGCATCACGCATGATTCTCTTCTTGCGAACGTCTAGGCTTGAGCCATCAACTTGTAACAAGAGATTACCGTTAACATCGAACACTTTGTATCGTTGGTTGAAGAAGACTCCGCAGTATTTTTTTTTTATAATTATTTCTGTTGGGGAAGTCACACAGAAGCTATCCTCCACAACACTGATCATGGGGAACCCTCCTGCCACTTCCAATGGCAATTCACCAGCACTGGCCTCCATTAAGAGTTAATGCATCAAAGAATTCAGAGTTTATAGAAAGAAGCTTTTGTTAGCATTTTGTTGGTTTGTACAGCTGAAAACAAAACGCTAGTCTTCTCTCATGTCCTTGAATTATCAGAACAAACATGGTAGAAAAGTCAGATAAGGAACCAATATTTTACTTAATTATTTATTTTATCATGTGCTTGTTGGCTATTAATTACCAACCAGAAGTTCAAAATGACTTTTTCGTATTTCTTAGTCAGCTCTTGGACCTGAACATAGATCACCACTCTGATCGCCTTCATTTTTTGACGGTTCTCTTCTATAATTTGTTATTCCCTCTATTTTATGCACTAGATTTGGTCGTGAATCTATTTGACATAAATTAATATATAGAGGTTCTTACTTTTAACTTTTTAATTTATAGATAAACTTTTTTCATTATTTTTCAATTAGGATATTTTGAAATCTTGATTCAAAGGTTGGCTGGAAACTTTGTAGAATTTGTGTCTCAAAGTTCACACAGACAAATATTTGACTGAAGAATATATAATTAATAATGAAATAGAGCCATAAACAAAACAAAACAAAACTACCCTTGGACCTTTCAGAGACAATGTACCGAGTTGAAAATGAGAATATAATGTCCATGAAAACATTGAAGAACCAAGTCAAGATTGCCCAAAATATGTATTCATATTTTGCAAGCAATCGGGTGAATGTTTAAGTAAGGATTTGTTCTCTCACTCTTCAATTTAACTAAAAAAAATACTATCACCGTTAACTTTTTGCAACGCAACTATTCGTTAATGATAAATACGGTAGTTGTGGAAAAACGAAGATGATGCACGATGAAACAATAATGGAAATTGTCCTCTTTCAGATTTAAAAAAAAAAGAAAAAAGAATAAGATTGATATTATTCATGTTAATGACAACTTTCTAATTTGCATTTGCAAAATTTCAATTATAAATTTATTGTCTTTTAAGAGAATATTTTAGTGTGGGTCATACATACATGTATCTTACACATCATATTGTCTATATTTTAAAATAATCATAGCACCAACCGGATTCATATCCTATTTGTGGTTCATAGGGATCAACTTGAAACTGGCCATTCACTTAATTAGTTTTATGATTATTAACTATGACTATAAGTTTATAAATAGTTTGCAAGCATGAGAATGTGTGAATGTGGAACCGTGTGGAACAACGAGGAAAATTTCATTGCTGAATTATGAATTGGGAGTTGTGAATCAGATACAATGAGAGAGAAAGGGATGCCCTTATATACAAAGAAGAGAAATGAATACAGCTTTTGATTGACATAACCATTTCTGCAATAATAAGCAAAACTAACATACCAGCTGGCCCTAACTAACTAGCTATATCTGCCAGTAAAATTGTTATCTGGTGGTAATGAGTGTGGAAACATTTTACACTACACATGAATAAATTCTTCAGTAACATAACGATGAAGACATAAGTGAGTTCTAATACGCATAAACATTTTGCTTTCCAACAAAACTGTCATAAACAATCTAAACAAACTACATAAGATCTATTCTACATTTACAACAACATAAGTTAATTCATAATGTCCCACAAAACATACAATGTTATGGAAGGAAAATCGTAAGTTAATTCTGTTTAAAAAATACATCATCACATTGAAGTCCAAATGCAATATTTAAAGTGCAAACCCTGAAGTATGCAAATATGGTAGTAATTGTGTTCGTCAGGTGAGAAGACTTTTCTTATTGCAGTATATGATCCACATTTCTCCAAAACGAAAATATAAAGCCATAAGCCAAATATGTATGATAAAATAACAGTGAAGTTTGAACTAATCTTCTCTCGATTGTAGGAACAATCAATAAACTTTTTCCTAGGCTTTTCATATTTTCTGGTGCAGGATTTCTTGAATATAACCCGTAAGTAAAAGCATGCCTTTTCTTGATGATGGGAGTGAGGAGGATGAAACTGATACAGTCAAACAGTAATTAGCAAGCATCTGTACAGGGCTAACACCTTTTGACTGTTAGTGAACGTTGATAGAAGAAAGAACATATTCTATTAAGATGGGTTAACAAATGTATTATGCTTCTTTGTTTTGATCACGAGTATTTTTTTGCAAATTGTGATCATCATCATGTACATATATAGTTGATGGTTATGCATTAATGAGAAACAACAGTCTCTTTCCAAATTTATTCTGTTGCTAGTTTCTTTTCAACTCTTATGTTATTCTGTTGTTCCACAGGTTCTCTGCTTCATGTTATTATTTTTTTAAGTTCTCTATAGCCTTGTTGCCAAGATTTTATAACAGGCAAGAGACTAGAAAAGGTCCAACCTGCACACCTTATGTAAGCATGTTGGTTACAAGGTAGCCTTTTGTTATATTCAAGTTTTAATTTTGATTTGCCTATGAAATATTTGAGTTCTGATATTCAACTCCCCATTCTGATTTTGCTGCATAATACAACTGTTTTGGTTCTACATGCATACATTTTATTTTTGTTAACGTATTTAAGCCAAAACATCCGGACAAAGATCGTTAGAGACAAGAAATGTTAATAAAGCAAATTTTAAATAATGGTTTGGATGAAAAGAGAAAAAAGAAGTAACTAACCCATGTGGTCGAAATTTGATTACAGCTGAGCATACTATTCAAATATGTGCAACTCTTACTCCTGCTCCTTCATCCTTCTTCATTCTTTCTGCAACAATGTACAACTTACTGACCTTATGGCCATCTTGAATTGCCTCTTTCGTATTAGAGTTTCTAGAGCCCTTCTTCACAGTGGAAAATAGCACTGACTTGACAAAATGGTTTTTCTATAGCAGGTTATCTATCACAAGGGAGCACCTTTTCGCCCTGCTTTATCTTCACCTAGCCATGACAAATAAGATAAGTTCAATCACACCATCAATGTAGGCAAGGATGAATAAGATAGAAGGTAAAGTTGTTAAAAAGATCAAGGTTATAGAGCATTTTTCTGAACCCAAAAACCAAGCAGGAACATTAGAAATGATTTTACCTTTTTGCTGTCTTCACCATTCTCCCCACCTCCAATGACCACGGTTCAGTGCAATTGTCTCTCGATTTCAAAAACAACGGTTTCCAGCAACAACAGTACTACAGGAGGAAAACGATGTTGTCGTGCTCTACAACATGGGCCTCGGAATAAAGCCCACAAAAAATATTATTGGGCCTTCCACAGAACATGATGGCATCCAATGTTTGTTTTCAACTGCTCCTCATCGAGTTTAATACACACGCTATATTGTTAATTAACTAAATTTAAAAGAACTAAATCTAGTTTTACATTTATATCATTCTCAAAATACAATTAATTATGTTTTTATTTGTACTTATAAAATTAAATTTACTTTTAAATAGATTAACTTATTTAAATTTACATTTCTTTGTACAGCTTATTTGAATTTGTTGTTTTAGGAAGATTAATTTTATTTTTAATAACATGTTATATTACAATTTCATTTATATTATGTTTTAAGACAATTTTTTTGTTTGATTTTATATTTTAGAGAATGAATTTTAAAATTTTTATTTAATATTTATCAAAAAAAGTATATATGGGTATGAAAAATATCTCTCACCATTCCTCTACGTTAGCGGTGAGATATTATTGTTTTTTTTTAATTATGATTATGATTATTATTAGTATTAATATATTGTATTGATAATGCGGGGTGTGTACGATTACTGTAGTATAGTATATAGTATAGGTACTATCACACTGACCTGACACTACCTAGGGTGGTGGTTTTTAAATTTGGAGTGACGTCGTTTTCAATAAAAAAATTTTACCCTTTTCTTCAAGTGTTGTTGTATCCATGAATGAAGCTGGTTTCTGTGTGTGGGGGCTGAGTTCAGTGCATCAATCGCTACCAAATCAGAGATGGATATGTGTGAAAAGCCATAATTTCCAAATTAACAAATACACACAAACTGTTCGAATTAATGTCTCTCTTAGAAAAGACCTGATCATAACATAACCATGCACAGCTCTTTCTCGCTCCCTGCCATTTTCACCCTTTTCATTGTTTCCTCTGCTGGATTTTGCAGCCTTCTCAACAACATCCTGTGAACACTCTATGTCTTCCTTCATCGTTCCTGTCTTTTCTTATATTTTTTTTCTTAATTTTCTTTTCTTATTAAGATCACATTCTTTCTGCATGCCCTCGAGAACTCACAACTACCCTTATGCTTCAAATAATAAATCTGTGTCATATCAGAAAAAAAAGAAACAACAGTTCACAATAAATTTATCAAACATGAAGTTAATTATTATTTTGTAATGGATATTGATGCAGCCAACCTCTGCGTATAAAAAGACCTATCAGATCTGATTGATTTTCTTTTATTATATTTAGATCAGGTTGTTTGTTATGGTGAAAAGAATGAGGTGGTGATCAGATGAAGAAGCATGTTTCTCAAAAGGTATTATTGTTCGATCATTCAAATTAGTGTACAATATGTAAAAGGAGAATCTACATGATGATGTAGGAGACTAGGACATGTTCTTTTATAATAGAATTCAAATATGTGAGAGTCACAAGTCACAACGTACCTACAAGGTAAATTTAACATGAAAAAATTGTTGGTGGTTAAGGTTTATGAACCATTATTATAGTTAAGAAAGAAATTGAATGAGTTGAATTAACGAATTAAGCAGGAAGGTGGCATTTTCCCATGTTATTGGAGAAGCGACCAATTTAATTATATAGGCAAAACTAAACGCAGTGTAAGTTGGAAGATGGAAAAGGCATCATGAGAGCAATGTGAAAGTGTGATACCGATGCATTAGAATTTGGAGATAAAGAAGAAAAGGAAGGTTGTGATTGAATAGATAATGTTATTAAGGTTGGTGGGGGAAGAAAATAATGGGAGAGAAAGGACAAAATGGCATAGCTGTGGATAGAGGAAAGATTTGATCTAAGTGCAGAAATTGGCATGTACTGAATGGAACAGAGTCACAACATAATCCGCTATGTAGGGGTGTATCTAGCTACCTATAACCATGTGCTTACATATATCAACACCACTCGACAGTGACCCTTTTATTCTCCTTCCCATCAAAACCCTGCCTTTCACTTACCCAAATAAAAAACCCTGCCTCTGGAACAAAGAGAAACCAAACTGCAAACACTATTATAAAAATAATGGTCTAAATCTGAATTCTAAGCTTTAAATTAAATCAGATTGTTTCTTTATATGTTTGCTTCACGACTCAGATTTTTTGGGTCAATTTATATTTTTAAATTACAGCTCATATTATACTTGGTTCGTTGAATAGTATGTTTTGACACCTCTGGAGTAAATCAACTATAATTTTAATTGTTTTAAAAAATAATTATTTTATTAAATTTTGAAATTATCGCTTTTATTCTAAATTTCAGTTTAAAATATATAAATAATGTTTATTTTAAAAATATTAATATTTTTGAAAATATTATATACATTGACATTATATTATAAACTCTGTACCTCTTCAAATAAGATCTAAACATTTTGTGGAATAAGAATTTTATGAAAATAAAGAAAATTTTATGGAATAAAATTATTATTAACTTTTTAGAAATAAAAAATATTTGATAAAGCTTCCGCTGGAGAAGTTTTTTGTTCATTAAGTTGGGAGACACAATGTGTTATATTATACTACATTTTTGTGGGAATAATTAATTTTTTAGTTAGAAACAACCTTTTTAGCATGTAACTTTTTAACATTATTTGCAACTAATCTTGGTAATTTTAGAAATTTAAATAATGAAATCATTTTTTTTGTAAAAATACAAATCCAAACATAAAATATTTAAAATTTCATTTCTTAAAACAAATGTACATTAAGGTGTATTTTTAGTCATTCTTAATACACATTATTCACGTGAGTTGAAATATGGAAGTACTTCAGACTGAACCCAAAGTCCAATCCATGTAATGGATAACCTAGATTGAGGTATTTTGCAGATAGATTCTTAAAATATAATACTTCTGTCCGCAATAAAGTTACTTAATTATTATTATACTATACAACATGATAATATTATAACCAAAATATTCTTTTACGTTGAAATAGACATATCTTAAGAAAAGGGTTATAATTTTAAGAAAACAAAGAAAAAAGAAAATTATTTTAAAAAGATCAGTGAATTTGAAAAGGTTGAATTGTAACTGCACCAAAAACCTAAACTAGTGTGATTGATTACCCAAACCTGTAAACACTGCTGTATACACCTTACCCCAAGATTCATCACCTCAAGTTTCTGTGTATATATATACAATGAAATGTTTGGCCTTCTTGTTTATATTATCTTGATAGATTCTTGCATTGTGGCCAATGCTACATGATTCTCTTGCCTGGCCATGAACAACAAAAGCACTTGTCACTCAACTTTATACTTTTAATAAATTTTGTTTCCATTGTCACACATTGGCATGTGAATGTACTTTTCCAAAGTGCAACTCACGTGAGTTTTGCTATCTCGCAAGGAACAAGAATCATATAGCATGCTAATGTACGATATTACAAAACAAACACAACATAGTTTGAGATAATTAAGAAGAGAAAATTAACTCATAAATATCACTTAGTAAAAAAATAGATAAATATTGAGGCATAAACATAAATAATACTTCACCCTTCCGATTATACACAGCACAGATCTACCGTATGGGCAGTTAGGTAAAATGGGGGCTCTGAGAAATGTGTGACTCTGCTAAGGGTTTCATTTTCATATATGAAGACAAACATTTGAGATTGATTTTTAAAATAATTTGGAATGTCACGAGAAACTTTTCTGAATTGAGCAATAGAATTCTCTGCATAATTGGACCCTAAAAAATGTTTCTGTTTTTGGTTTCATTCTGGTCACATTTGGTCACATGATATTATTATACTAATGGACACAAAAACGCGTACAGGTCAGCAACACAGAATAATATTATTGATATCTATCACTCATCATATCATTTACTAAATTAAAATGATTTTCAAAAGGTCACCTTAGTCTATGCGATTATGCAGCATGATATACTAATCATTCAGCCTATTATATTATATTATATTATATTATATGTGTGTGTGTATATATATACATATAGATGCATGACTCCAATCATACAGAAAAGGTGTACCGTACATATCATATTCATGGATCATGGAACATGCGTAAGTAAAAACATTCAAATATCCAAAAACAGAATCTTCTCAGTCTCCAACTTTATTGCAACTAACAACTCTTCCAAGCCTCCAAGGACACTCCAGCTATAAAGGACTTGGCTAGGTTGCACCATTAACAACACTTATTAATGAACTAAGAGCTATGACTTATAACACAATGAAGCTATATGCCCATTTATTTTCTTTCCTTCTTGAAAGAGTGCAAATTCAGTGAGATTTGATGAATGATAATGGATTCCATCTCATTAAATCAGGTGTGACGAAACTCGGAACTTATAAATGAGAACAACATCATTATAATAACAGTTTGATACTATTACACTGCAACTAACTCAATTATTGGTTTATGAATCATAACCAATGAATATGGTTTTGGTCGAAACGATCGATCCAACACTTAATAATTTAATGTGTGTTCATGGGTAAAAATACAGGGAGAGTGTTAGACAACATGCAAACAGTGAACCTTATTTGATCAAAAATCACTTTTTTTTTGTTTTCCTACTCTCATATCTGAATTGATATTCTCTTCAATCTCGATATAAAGAAAAATAAAAAACTGATTCATGTTAATTTAAAAAAAAAAATGAAGATCACACTTATATTAATTTTAATTAAAAATGTTGTTATTTCAAACCATCGTTCATGAGAACTTAAATCAAGAATCTGAAAAGTTCAATAAAATAACATATAAAAGATATTTTAGAAACGATATCATGTTTAAAATCAGCAACATATGGGATTGGTGGAATAAAGGCAATTATAATATGGCACTGTTTATGAAGACAAAAGAGTTGGCTGTATAACTTTGTATTTTGTGGCACATATTTACAATACATTTAAATCAAATAGATGATAATGACCTAGCTAGTCTTGTTCTTTATTGTCAAGTTTTCAATGATGTGCCAGTCAGTACATATTTACCCTTGTTTTTAACTTGAACTTCAATGTTTGGAACCATAACCTTTTCTTACCATATGTTTTTATGAGGCTGATATTTTGCTATATCACCTCATTCAGTTAATCTATAAACACAATGCACTTCCAGTACAAAATTTAAACTCATGATCTCTATACTAACAGTTCAATTTGTGTCAAACAGAGACTATGAATACTATATAATAGAAAGTTAATATAATTTTGCATTTATTGTGAGCTTTAGATTAATTAATCACAAAGCATAATATGGTTAATAAAAGAGAGAGGAAGCCAGATGATAGATGGATAGAAATATTAATTATGAGTGCAATAATAGGATGTGGAAGGAGTATGGTCCATATATAAGGGTCCAAGAAAGAAAGCAATATTGTGGTGGAGGGAAAATTGGGGGTCACAGGGGAAGAGTAGCTGAGCACTAATGGAATCTAAAAGAGTGTAGGAGAGTTCAGAGGAAGAAAATGCTTTTATGGAAGGCAAGAGACAAGGTAGGAGCAGGATATGTGTATGGAGGATATTGTTTTGTTGTGATGATTAATGGGCACACATGTGAATAGAGGTGGGTACGTGATTTGTCCTTGTGGAATCGTGACAATACTGCAACGCGGAACCAAAACACATCCAAATACACTCTTCTATATATCATATCATATCATCCCTGTCATTCATTTTTTATATTTTTTTATATCTCAATCTATATATATATATATATATATACTGTCATTACTGCACGGCTTTTTAATATGTCATTATGTCAAATGCAATGAGTTCTCTTACAAATCTGCATGAGAGTAAAATAGATGAGATATGAGATTAATTAGAATAGTTTATGTGAGATTTCTAAGGTTAAATCTCATTATGATCAATGAACTAGTATGAAAAAAACCAGTGTCATTGTAATGATTGGTGTGATGCATTTTAGTTTCTTATACATTTCTATTTCTAACAACATGTAGTTTGTTTTTATCAGAACAGAACCTTTGAACTTGGAATTAAGCATGGGAAAAACCGTAAACAAGTATGAACTTCAAAGAGAAAATAAATGCTAATTTTGGTGTAAAGAAAAATTAGGAGTCTCTTTCTCTTACCTTTCTTATGTGAGACTAGTCCCATATGAATCACTACTGAAGTTTCTTCTTCTAGCAATGCCTTTCTGTCTACTTGAATTATTGTCAAATAACAGCTTAACTTGAAGCGGAGCAAAGTAGCATGTGACTGACAAAAATATGATAGAATTTTCGGAAATACATTTCACAATTGTTAGATTACTATCATCTGATTAATTAATTTAAAGTCATGGGTTTTGTTTACCTATATTTTTTTTATTGGTAAATAATACAGAATATAGGTTAAAAAAAGCGTCGCACTAAAAACACATAAAAATACAAGCAATTGAATCATGCACCAATCAAGAAAAGATAAAAGTGTGCTACCTAGAATAGCTTGGGACCAATACCATGAGTGAATCTTACGGTGATGAATATATGTAAAAGTTAATTTCTACATCTTTTTTCAAACTAGAGTGTTATTTTTTTTATTAGAAAAGAAAAATTATAAAAAAAAACAAAAATTCAATATAAAAATCATAGGAGAAACACAAATTATTCACCTTATAGTTCTTAAATAGGCCTCCCATACATGACAAAGGGTAAAAGGACCAATCACAACAAATGAACCTACTTTGGAAATAATCTAGGACAATTAATAAGATTCTCTATCCCATTATGTTAACAGTTCCCATCCTAAAAGTAATTCCATTAATCAAATTGATAATCCAGCATCCAATTTCTCTTCAATATCTTCTTTTTAATCGAACTTCCTCCAATATTTCATTTGAATTTTCTACAAAAAAATCATATAAAATGAGGTTCTTATGAATCAAGAGAAGGTTGAATAAAGTGAGAACTAAATCCAACTATAACACGACACATAAACAAAACTATTCAATTTCAATTAGCTTGATATTTAGAATACCCTTTGTACTCTTTAATTTTATTCACTTAAGGAAAAAAAAAAAAAAAAAACTTAGACTAGTACGTGTTAAAATTACAAGACTTTAATTGATAACAGTCAAATTCTCTCACTTAATTAACTATTACTTCTCAGCGTATTTAAGCTGGGTAGATAAACGGTAGAGGTGATATGTTATGTCTTCACAAAATGAAGAAATTTGGATGAGATGCATTTTTCAATGAAATAAAGAAATGAAGAATATAATATTACGATCTACTGAGCGTTTCTTTGCTGGACAAGCTAATAATTGCGACTAGGAAAAAGTGGATGCAGTAATTTCAGTATCCGTGATATGAAATACCACAGTTTGAGTTACATACAGAAATCCATATATCATCATGTGAACATCCATGTCAAATTTATGTACAGGTTTACAGACAAGAGATAATTATGCTTATGCATGAAAATTGATGCGATAGTTAACAATGGACGCTAATTATCTGTTTATTGGAACTGCATGGTACCTACAGAAGAGCTACCAAGTATATGTATAAATCTTAGGAGTAACATGTACGAAGAAAAACATGTAAATGGTTGCATTTTAATTTGAGTTTGAAGCGGGAAAAGGAAAAAGAAAATGAAAATGAGCTTAGTGTGTGTGATATATAGGATGAGAGGGTATGATGGCACGTGTGGAGAGAGAAGAAGAAAGAAGACAAAAGTTTGATTGGAGGTGCGAGAAAGGATGGAGAGTGGAGGAGAGGCTAAAAAGCCCCCCGTGAGGAGTGTTTGGAGGCATTCCAAAATCACAACTAAACATCCTTTTGTTGCTTCTCCTTCACTTCTTTCGATGGCCTATTTTCACTATCACGAGTTCATGATTCCCCTTCTCCCATTTTCTTCCAACTCCAAACTTATCAAACACATTCCATTTTCCCTCTATACCCTTCTGCTCTTCATATACACCTTTATTTTGGACTTAAATACTAATAATAAGTTTGTCCTAATTTTCTGGCATACAGCTGTGAGTATGCAAAGTTGATTACAAGCTACATATTCCTTATTATAGTCTAATTAACACAACTAATTTAGATGTTCAGATATGATTTGAGTTTGATAAGTGGTTCGTTTATGATTCCATATAATATTCATCTTTGATAAGGCCAGTCAATACACACACTTAAACACATAAGTTTATTTATTACAAAATAATCATCTATTTAAAATTTCTTTCTGAAGTTGACAGAAAAGTTATTGTTTTCTGAAAACAAGATTAACATATGTTTCAATGATCTAGTACAACTATATCATATATGTATTATATTAATGAAACGTGATAATCTTCGACCTGCCACATCCTTAATTCTTAGCAAAAAAGAAAGTATTTCAAAATTGAACAAATGGAAAGAGTCCAAAATGTAACAGAAGGGTACTTTTGTAAGTTCAAACAAAATGTATAGTATTTCTTTATGAATAACTGAGACAGTCATGTGGGGAGAAAACACATGAGATCATATGGATTTGAGAGCTCGTCCCTTCTTTTAAATGACCACAGAACTCTGCAGAGTTGATAGCAAAAGAAAAGAACTAGAGAGAAAAAGCGAGAAGATCATAAGCGGAGAGGAGAGAGAGAGAGAGAGAAAAAGTGAACACCCAAAATGGTTTCCAAAGAGCAAAAGAGAGCAGCACTGCATGAGCAGCTGCAACATCTTCGTTCTCTTACTAACTCTCATGCTGTAATTCCCTGCATTATCTCCTCTGATATCTTTCTTTCCATTGGATTTCTCTGTGATATTCTCAAGGAATTCAGCCAATTCGCTAAAAGAATGCTCAGTTAGACAGCAGTATTGTTATACATATATAAACTTCCCTTTTGCTTTTCCTCTTCTGAATTTGATTTCATTTTGATAAAGGAAAACATGTCTTCTTCGGTATTTTTCTTATTAATCAAATCTTACACAGCTTCAAAAAAATTTCCCCCTTATTGACTATATCGATATTCATTCTTTTCTGTATCTTCGATTATCTTTTATGAGTTTTTAATTTTCATATCTGGGGGAAAACTGAATCACAAACAAGTAAGACTTTGCTATAGTATAATATTAAAAATAGTGATTGATAGCATTCTCAATTTAATATCATTTATCTTGTAAACCAATTCATACCGTTGTTTTCATCAATTATATGCAGCTTATTTGAGAGGTTAAATTATCTAATAATAGTAATATATATTCATGGTTGATGGCAGCTAAACAAAACCTCGATCATTGTTGATGCATCGAAGTATATTGAAAAGTTAAAGCAAAAGGTAGAAAGACTGAATCAAGAGATAGTCTCTGCAGAAACTTCAAGTGTGCATGACCCCTTGCCTATGGTATTTTCTTAATCAAGAAAAATTAAAAGCACCCTCTATATTCAACAATTTCAATATGTATATGTTTGATCAAATTTCTTGTCATAAAAACATTGATTGGAGTGACATTTGGTAATTGTGCAGGTTACAGTAGAAACCTTAGAAAAGGGATTTCTTATAAATGTTTTCTCTGCAAAAGGGTGTTCAGGTCTGCTTGTTTCCATATTGGAGGTCTTCGAAGAGATGAGACTCACGGTACTGGAAGCTAGGGTTTCTTGTACAGACACTTTCCGATTTCAAGCTGTTGGAGAGGTAAGTTATACACATACATAGAAAAAAAATTACTATTACAATTGCTTATTTGTTTTCAACATGCATATCATTGATCTCTCTCTTCCTTTGTGTTATCAATACTTTTGGATGCCACACGTGTTGTCCTTTTATAAAACGTTCCTCATTGGGGACTTGAGTAAGGTGACCTAGTTACTGTGCACTAATTGATCATGCATACTGTGGTAAATCTTAACCTAATAGTAAGAGAGTCTTTCTTAATTGTCTATCATACCAACCTTGAGTAAGTAGTATGCATTTGTTTTTTCTTATATTTGCATATTGGTGTATGAGAATGATGGTAAAATATTATTGTAACTTTTGTAGAATGAAGAACAAGGAGAGATCATTGATGCACATACTGTCAAACAAGCTGTGGGACAAGCAATAAAAAACTGGAGCAAAAGTGGCGATCAAGATTAAATCAGTAATCAAATGTCTATTATATATATTGCATTTTTATTTTATTTTTCATTTTCTTTCATGGTGGCTAACTGGCAATTTGTTCCTTATGGAGTTCATCCGTTTGAGATAGCTTCCCATTTTTAATAAGAAATATATGTCAGCTGTAAGAGAATTAGAAAAGTAGTTGATGATAGATCAATCTAATGAGTGAATAACTCATTGTAAGTTTAATTTTCATAAACAATATATTAAGGTTAAAGGTGGAGATGGAACAAGTGTAAAACTACTGAGACACGTAAAACTTGTAATGACATACACCTGAAGGAGTTTAGTACAAAAGAATTAACAATGATGTGGCCTACTGAAGGTAGCAAATAGTGAAACTTGACATCTGATACCTTGAAATAGACAAATGATGAATGTTTTCAAACAATATGTTAGGTGCAATTATGAATTGAAGTCGTATAACTTCACATTTGCTTAGGTGTTACACCTTCTTTTAATTGAAAATAGTCTTTGCATATAAACAATTGAAGATTTAACATGTTAATTTGGAACTTATAAGTAATACATTGGGAATTTACTCCTTTCAATTGGCACATACATTCTTTTACTGTGCATTTGGGACTTTTCAACAACAATATATATATATATATATATATATATATATATATATATATATATATATATATATATATATATATATATATATATATATATAAAAGGCTTTGTTTTTTAAAAGCTTACTATGAGTTTATATATGTGACAAAAATAACTATAAACATATATGATATGAAGTCCTGACATCAATATTAATATAGATTCTCAAATTATATACAAAAATAAGAAATGAGAATTTTTTTTTCTAAATATTAATAAACTATTTCTTAAAAGTAAAATAATACAACTACAGAAGAACATTGCAATGATTAAATGAGAGGGAATTAAAACCCTTTATATAACCAAAAGCTGAAACCAGATATATAAAAAGCTACCAATGTGAGTCTTCTTCTTCAAACATTATATTTTGAAGTTAGAAAAGTGATTATTTATTCTATTAACACTAAACGTGTAATTAATAGGTAGCACATAAATAAAATTCATTTTTTTACTTAATATTCGGTAGTTTACTTCCCGCACCTACTCTTGTTAAGGACAGATGGGTCCCAACTTGAGGGGATTCTTATGAAATATGATCTACACATATTTAAATATATATATATATATATATATATATATATATATATATATATACTTATTAATCTAGCATATAATAATTAATAAATAACAAGAATCTCAAAAACAAAATAAAAAATAAGAACTAACTTCTATTTTCAATAAATTATACAATTTTTATGCATGTAATATTATTATTTCTTTATATATGCATATAAAAATTCATTTTAATAAAAACATTGAATTTTAATATGATATATAACCTGCTTTTATTAACGCAAATGTGATTGTTTTTAAAAATTTTCCACCTTTTAAATACTATATACTTGCATGTAATGATTAGCCATATATACTCCTATTTTTTTAATTATACCCTACTTTCTTAATTTATATCTTTATCATTAAGCATATTGATGAAGTGGCATGAGGTTATCTTCACTTAATCAACATTCTCAAGTTTGAGTTTTGATATGTAATTGTATTAACACTGAGAGTATAATAATCCTAATTGACTCGAGTGAAGTTTTATTTTATAAAAAATATTTATCGATATACCATATAGTCAGTTAATTAATATAACTAATATATACAATATTTACGTGAGTTAGTGGGTGGGGGAGCATATAAGATACTCTATATTTAGTTAACAAAAATATATTGCTAATATATAACTTTTAAAATTTCTTATTGATTTGACTAAAATAATTTAAAAAATGACAGTAATTTTTTTTATTTCTTTCACGTTATCAAGTTATTGTTTTGTCTAGAATATGATGAATAGATATCTATTTAAAAATATTTAAACTATGATAAAAATGATATAAATTTTTTTTATAAAGTTAAAAAAATGTATTAAAAAAATTGTTTAAACGGATCACAAGTGTAACATATATTGTTAATTTTGTATATATGTATTTATTGGAGAAGATATTGATATGAATGTAGACATATGGTTCATGGAATAAAGAAGAGATGAATAAAAATTAAAGAGAAAAAAATAAAAGGAAAAAAATAATATGTTAATAAAAGTTACTTAAATAAATATTTTATTATAAAATATAAATAAAAAAATTAAAATTAAAAAAAGTTACTTAAAATTAGATGATAAACATAAAATTTTTGATATGCTTTTAAGTAATGATATATATAGATATATAATAAATTTTTTATTTTTATTTTTAAATATAACTCTTATTAAGAAATATTTTAAAAATACTATATAAGTTTTTCAAAGAAAATTACTACTCGACAAGTTTGTATCCAGTCAGATGAAAGGTTCTGTTTTAACATTAATAGAAATAAGAACTATATAAAGAAAGATAGAAATATAAAGATTCATATTTATATTGAATATATATAGTGAATAAACATGATATTTTTCCTAGAATTTAGTTTGTGAAGTGTTAAAAAAGTAGGAGCATCACATGTCTTGAAATCTAAATTCAATTTTATTTTAATTAAAAATAATAATTAATTTAAGATATTATTTAATGAAATCCAAAGACAAAAACATTTAAAATAATGATTTTTTAAATTTTAAAAATAATACGTTTGAATTCGGAACTTTTTTATATGTATGTTAAAGAAGATATATTATGTTAAAACTTATCCTCTTTTTTTTTTTAAATTGTAACCTTTAATGTTTACATAGAGATGAAAAAAAAACTATATGCAATCCAAAGAAAAACTGCTCAATTACAATATAAGAAGAAAATGTGGAAATTTTGAAAGTTGATTAACAAAATGTTTGAAAAATTGAAACTTGGGTGGCTATGTGCAATTTTATTTCGTTGGTTACTTCATTGTTGTGTGTGTACTTCACGTTATTGTTAAGCTAATGGCTTTAAACGAATTTGCAATGAGACAAAATATACACAATTTTAAAATTTTGATGACACTAAAAAAATTCGATTTTTACCATGTAAAATTGTGAAACAAGGATAACAAGTATGAAATTAAGAAACATTTTTAAAAAAATCAATTATCAACACATATTAAGAATTCGGATTACCAAGATGATATTGGCATTGGCACAAAAGAAACCTCTAAATGGACACAAACAATATAAGATTTCTTTGCGTTGTGACACTTTTATTTGTAAATAACATAGTTTTCATTCTATGATAAACTACCCAAGTCTTTAATGTATACATCACTTTGTTTGAGAAAAGAAAATGAATAATTATTGTATATATGATATAAATTCTTATATGAACGATTCGAAAAAGTAGTTTGTAAGTGAAAGGTTGAAGCATACATAGTTTCCTCCTTTATGTTGTTGTAGTGTGCATTCTCTTATTTTTAAGAGACTTAAAGAAAAATGTCGTAATTTTTTAAATTTAGTAATTTTCTTACCATTGACTCTTTATGCATTCTTTGTTAAGGTTTTTCACGATAAAATTAGTAGGAAAATTCTAATTTTTTCAAATATTCCAAGTATTTTCCATAATTAAAACAATATTGTGATAGTTCATCCATAATTTAGTAGTTTTTTATTTTTTAATTTTTTTCGTTCTAATTTTAACGACATACTATTTCATTATTTCAGTATCTAACCTAATAAATGTTTAAAAAAATTACATTAATCTTTTTTACAGTAATGAATTTAAGTAAATAGAAAATGAAAGACATTACTTTTACATTATATTTTAAGTTAACTTTTTTAGATTAAAAAAAACTATTATATAAAACTGCGTCTGGCATTTATAAATTATTGCACTGCATGTCCATATACTATACTTCATTCTTAGACACAGTGTTTGCGCTATGCAATGGGCCCAACACAAAGTGATGCTGTCATATGGGCTTTATACAATTCATTGTGGAGTCTGGTAACATTACATTATATTATATAAGTTGATAATAATTCCTAGAACTGCATTTTTCTTATTATTTTTAGTATTTAAGTTTAGAAAGGACTTTGGAGCTCCCATTCAGCTAGCTGGGCCACAGTGGAAGAAGGAGCGTGGGCCTGTGGTTTTGGGCCAGAAGCACGATTGTCGTAGTAGCGATAAGCCGCAGCAGCAGACAAAACTGCGAGTGTTAACGCTTGGGCATGCAATCTACAAATCCGAAGAAGAGCAAAAAAATAAAGAAACAGTGTGATGTAGGCGATGAATGTGTGTATGTATGTATGTATGTGCATTAGTGGGACATGTTACGATGTACGTACCTGGCATGGATTAGTCTAAGACTAGGCTTCATTGGAGACATTGTACGTGAATTAGCCACAAGTGATGCCCCAATCCCAGAGGCCCACAGTCCCCCTACAACCACACAGCAATTAATTATAATAGACAAAACCTACCTACAATATGATATCATACTGTTCTTCAATCATAATTCAAATTTGAGAATGTATATCTTACCAACTGTGGCTAGTTTGTGCTTGGAAACCCACAATTGAATTGCCTCCATGTCAATGTTTATGTTTGCTTTATAATTTAGGTGGGGGTGATGAAAGGTGAAGGGAGAGAAAGGGTGAGTATAGTATTTATAGATGAGGAGGAAAGGCTAATTTCGGCACTTTTTCTGTGCCCCTTGGTTTCTTTACAGGGGGTTTCTGTCTGTTTTATCGGAACACTGGAAAGGTTAAACAGGAGGAGGCTTACCCTGGTTTTCTGTTCCAGGACGCTGTTGCTTTTGTCTCTTAAATTAACATGTTTCTTTTTTCTTATATCTGTTTAAGATCAAGACATGATTAGGTTTTTAATCATGGATCCAATCAAATCATATGAGGTGAAACCAACGGAGTGGAATTAAGCAAAAATATGATCAATTTATTTTTTGTTAGGAGGGGACTAATAATTGATTTTAAAATTATCTGAAACTGCTTTAGAATAATATTATTAAAAATAATTTAAGATAAAATAAGTTTAAGTTTTATACCTGTCACCAAAGAAATTAATGCCAATACTTTTATAAAGTTTAAGTTTGAACACGTGGTGATGTTAGGGTCTGGAAAGTATGATTATTTGTTTTATGGCAGCAACTACAAAACGAATTGCTGAAATATTTTATTATATGAGAAAAAAAGTAATAATAAGATATTTCGTTAGATGCAAAGAATATTGATGCGTGTCATGTGGCTCAACTGGATTCAATATGAACGGGACACACACCTAACATTATATATTTATATCGGTATGCTTTATTATTATAATGTCAAGCATAAACGTCTCAATTTCTTTTATCAAAACATTATATTAATCCAATTCAAGAAAATAAATAAATCATAATTTATCTGAATCTGAAAAAAACCACAGTATTCCATTATATAAGTATATTAAAAATGCTAATTAAATGAATTAAAAAATATAAAAATATTATATAAATAATATATGAAAACAATCAAACCCTATCTAGCTGTTGCAAAGTATGAATGAATATTAGTAAGCCCAAACCCTAGCCCGTTTTGGTTACTTCTTCGCGTTGGCCTAAAAAAAAAAAAGTGAATTCCTTGTGTCTAGGAAGAAGTAAAAGAAGAAGGTTCTTGCTGAATCCCCATCCTTCTTCACACGTTCAACTTCTTTTACGCCCGCAATGGAAATCCAAATCCTCAAGTAAGAATGGAAGCTAATAGAAGACGAGTGGTCCATCGCAGAAAGCCTCTCTCTGATATCACCAACAATTCTCCCTTCGTTTCCCCCAAACCTCACAAAACTAACCCCTCTTTTTCTTCTCACTCCTCTGCACTCGGTAAACGTGCCGCTGAATGCAGCAGCACCGTTGCCGCCACCACCAATCTCGATAATGCCCCAAACCCTATCTCTCCTTCACCACCCGTTCCCTCCACACCATCGCTCAAAACGCCCTCTCTACCCGGCGATTCAACCACTCCCTCTTCAATTCGTAGAAACGCTTCCCTACTCTTTTTTCTTGATTTTGCAATTTTAATTTTGTCTTGCAACCAAAGAGACGCTCCACCTTTGCTATACTACTGTTGCTTTACAAATTCAATATCAATATAGCATGTTTAATTACTGTATTTAATTATCGGTATTTTATTTTAAACTTTTATGCATACTATGTTTAATCACTGCGTGATTTTTTTTTTCCTTCAGAGATTGTTGATGCTGAATCTTCTGATGATGTCGAAACTTCTGAGCCTGTTCAGGCTATTTCAGTAGTGTACAGCCGAAGACGTTCTTCGAATAAAAGACAGAAGGATAAAGGGAAGGCAGTGGCTATTCCCGTTAGTAGCACGCCCAATTTCAAGATATCTGGCAGTCGGTAAGTAATCACCCTTCACTTTTTCGTAGTGGCAGATTGTGTTGATGTGGAAGGTGTATTGAGTTTTAAGAAACAATGATTGAGGGAGAATAGGGGAGGTTGTTTGAAGTTTTGGGACACGGGAAAAAGAATGAGATTGGGGAATAAAAAGCTAACTATTGTGATGGATTTAATTGAAGAGAAATGCTAGTATCCCACTCTTCTAAACACATTCTTTTTTAGCACTATAGGCTGAAATATATTGGAAATTATAGAACTGTGGGTTTCACTTCTTAGTTAACAAGTTTCACTTATGATCTTTGTATTTTGACTAGTTTGCAGTAAATTTTAGCCAATGGTAGAGAGCTTGTTTGAGGAGTGTGTTTCTATTTGCTATAACTCTTTTGTTTTTTTAATATTTCAGTTCTTGAGAGAAATTCTCTTCAGTATTTTTGAGTGTGCCGTTTGGCCTGAGTATATTAAGCTTATAAGTTTTGTTGGAAGCTTTCCTGAGCAGATTACTGATTCAGAGCTATCCTTTTTATTTGACCTCTTTAGTCTGTCCTGTTTTTCCATTACTATGCTTTAAGCCCTTGACATTTTATATTTCCTTCGTATCTTTGTTGGTATCTATGTTATCCATTATATCTCTTGTCGTGCTTAAGGGAAATGAGTTTGAGTTTTTCTTTTTATTGTCTCTTTCCTGGAAGTTCTACCATATAATTGTTGTGAATTGTTTTGTGGTGAAAAAACAGCGAGCAGAATGATGAGTTTGAAGGTGTGAACCCATCCAAGGCCAATGCATTGACTTTTCCTCGTGCAAAGGTATATTAATTTACTATCGTGGTCCTGAGTTTCTGTGATTTTATTAGGAAACTCAAAGGATATTGAATTGGTTATTCGACAAGAACTTGACATTTTATGAAACTGTTATTGTTAAAAATATTGCAATGAGCATTTCCGATAATTGTTTAAGACAAGTATTCCTGCCTTTTTAGTGGATGTGTCAATCGCTGTGGCATGGTTGATCTTAAGTCTGTTGTTTATACCTCAAACAGTTTTTTTGCCAGCCTCTCTTGATGTTTAATGAAACAAGGTATACAATTTTAGAAGAAGGAAGATCTATGAAATATCCACACACCTAAAATATAATGGATATTTTCACTATTTTTAGGTTATGAATTTGTGTGAAGGGTGAATCTTGATGCATTGTGAGATTGCCACCTGGTGATCTCGTCGTGGGTTATGTAGCCACAGATTCAACCTATCCACCCGTGTTTTATATCCACTGACCACCATATTTATAGCATTAGAATAATATTGAGAAGTTTGTTCAGTCTCAGATAGTCATTGTGATTCCCAACTATTTATACTTCCTTTGTCATTACATATTACTCATTGTCCTAATAAAATCTTTGAAATAGTTGTTGGGTGGAATTTGTATATATAAATTTCCAGTACTTTCTTACTTCATATCATATACTTCTGTAAGTTATGTTTGTTTCCCCTGCACGTGACATTTTTTTTTGGCGGGGAGAGGAGGTAAAATCTTGCTTACATGCCACAGATTCTGCGTACGTCTTGTTTTTGAGTTACGTGTTCAATCATTGTCAAAATGAATATTTTGCAAATGTCTGATACATATTTGCTGAATTTTCAGAAACAGCGTACTTTGTCATCTGAAAAAGATGCGAGCAAGGATCAGCAGCTGCAAGAATATATAAAAAAACAGAATGCTTACTTTAAAGAGATTGATGAATTTGATCTGGAGGTTGAATCTGGAGAGGAGTTGGATTAGGTGGTAGAGATGTATTGTAACTATAAATAGCAGCTTAAAGTTCTTTGTTTTGGTAGCTTGTATAGTTCAGATAACGTGATTTTAAACTAACTCTCTAGCATCTCTATGACCAAATATATAAACGTACGCTCCCAATAGTATTTTGTAATAGCCCAGTAGGAACAATCAAAGTTAAAATTGTGCCTAGCACACTTTTATGTCTTAGAAAACTTATCTGATTTCTCTTGTAAATTTCTTCATGGAGCTTAGTAGTATTCTTATAATATTGTGATTTTAATAGCTTGCTTTGTTTTACGCCGATTATTCTTCTATTTCTCTACCGGATTTGCAAAGAGAGACAAATTTTCTGAACAAATTTCAAAGACGACTTAGATGCTGATATTCCTAATGTTGAATGTTGTCGTTCATGTAGATGTCATAAGTCTGCTGGTTATGTTGATTGCTTACTAGCAGTGATGATGAGATGATTGTGAGAGTAATGTGCATGTATGATATAAATACACATAAAACTAGGTAGTTTATTGATGAGCCAAGTTGCTTTACAGTGCCGAGGATCAAGTTACTCGACAAAAATTTGGATGAGGCAAGTTTGCTTGATGGTGCGAAGATCAAGTTATTTGACATAAATTTGGACCAGGGAAATTGAATTTTTATTAAACATATGCATCACTTGCATATTGTTATTTGACATTAATTCACTTTCCCGCAATTGATTCTGATCTGGCCCTTGCTTCCTGTGAGAGGCTTGATATTGCTCATTTTGACCATGCCCTTGGCGAAGTCTTCAAAGAATGCAGCAGTATTAGCAGCGTATTTTCTAACCAGTTTGTCAGTAGAACTGCCATTGAACAGCTCCTGATCGGAATGAAGAAGGGCCTTTTTGCTCACCAAATTCTGGAAGTATAGATTATCGAAATGGATTGGAGTTTGGTGGTCAAGGGGTTCCAGTGTGTTGTCATTTCCACTTCTTGGGCATTTGCTCTGCAGGAACTTCCGGTAGGAGGGATCAACGTTGGAGTCATTGTAGATGTGTGCTCGGAAATTTTTGCATTGTGCAAGGCCAATGGTATGTGCCCCTGTTATTGAAAGTTGCTGTTAGTGAGTTGTTTCACTTTGTGAACATGGCAAGTAAAACATGAATTCGGATCCTCACATTTCTCTTGTACGAAACTGTTCTTACATTCTAGAAATTGTGTATTTTTATTTTTCATAATAAAAAAAATATTATATTCTCCAGAAAAAAAATGATTAAATATTAAATCGTTTTCCAAGCTCAACTTTGGAACAACAATATTTAGGCGTAAGAAAAATCAAACCAACGTTGAATAAACAGGGCAACAGTTTAATTAACATGGGTAGGATTGCCTTCCAATTATGGCAATAACCAGGAAATGGTTGCAGTGTTTCTATCTTTCAATACTAAGAGTACTAAAATCCGTTTTGACGAGTTGAAACAAAATAAAGATGGATATTTTAATATTAATAAGATGGGATATTTAATAATGAGTGAATGGAGTGAAAATAAATAAGATGAGCTCGAATAGAATGAGATAAATTTATCATGTCCTTGATTATATATTTTATATTGAAATAGAAGCAAATTTTTATTACATTATTTTAGAAGTTAGCTGAATTAGAAGAAAGTAAGAAATAATAATTTGGTTCACACCTCAATGGAAAGCAGATAAGTAAACAATGAGTTTTTACTGGATTGCATTAACGAAATAATTTTTTTATCTTTGTTTGATTTCGTTAGAAAAATAGTGAGCTTTTAGTGATAGACATGCCAAAAAATATTACAATAATTATGTAAACTTCTTTCTAGAAAAATGAAAATATTGTAGTATTTTTATTGAAAATTAAAATCATTATTTTCTGAAAAAATCTGAAAAGACCAACTCACAAAAATACTTTCTTTAAGCTCAAAAAAGTGTACTAATAAATTTTTATTAAATTTCAGCCACCATATTTTTAATAATTCAACCATTGAAGAATGATATTATTCAATATTTCATTACATCTGTTTCAGTTTAGTTAAAGTGAAAAGGAAGAATAACAATTTGTCAGTTTTTTTCCTAGTTCATCTATTGTAATTTCAAATTCTATTTATGTAGATATTTTTTGTAAAACAAATAAGTAACGTAAGGAACTCCACATATCAACATAATTATTCCACACATATATATTTGAAGTGACTGAAGAAGACCTCTAATAAATTATGATAGCACCTGAAAGAGCCACCAAGTCTGTAACAGAGAGGCCTTGATTAGCAAAATTGTTGGTGAGAGCAGTTAGACTGAGGAAAGGCGCGGGAATGCTATTATTAGCATCAATTCTGCTTGCTGTTGTAGAATCTCTTCTCCCCAAACCCACCTCCCAAGAAGGTCCTCCTAACTGCAAAAGTTCCATTTCTCAAGTGCCATGGTAATTCATAACTCTTACTTTAATCAAAACACAATCATAGAACATAACCATGTTTATTACATAAACTACTGAATCTCGAGCTGCCAGGGCAAGAATATCAGCACACGACACCACTTTGGGGCATTCTTTCTCCACACTGGCCTTAATGTTATTGATCACATTGAACCCTCTTGCTGATTGGTTGTTAGCTGCTGCTGTTTGCTCTCCAATGAAGTTCCTTGTGTCATCCAACAGTATCGATGCATCACAACCCTGAATATGGTCATGTCAGTTAAACCATCAGAAGAAATTATTAGATAGTTCTAAATCATGACATGTTTACACTACATGTAAAGATTGGAGGGTAGACAAAAGGTTAAATGAAGTTACCATAATATTCTTATGGATTATTTTGTTGTATTCTTACGTTTACAAAGCAGTCATGGAAATGCAATCTGAGTATGGAAGCCCCCATGCGTGGTTCTTTCTGAATGGCTTTGGCCACTCCTTTCTTCACTATGGGCAACAACTTTGGGCAACTGCAGGAGTAAAAGTCTGTGCATAGCTCTGCACCATAAGCTGTAGTAGTTCCACCGACAAGAACAAGCAAGAGGAAGTAGAAAGAGGCCATTGTAGTTTCATAAAACAGACTGACATATCAAATAATTGGTGCTTTCTCTTATATAGGGTTGGACCAAGTTATTTCTAGGTTCATCCCTATTGTCATGTTGTGTTCGATACATATGTTATGCAAAATTGTATGCTGCCATAAATATTTGGAAAAAAAAGAGGCTTTTGAATAAACTTGTATATGTGATATTTGAACATAAATAATAAAGTTTTGAAAAAGTTACCATTAGATTCAAACTTTATAATATATGATAATCATATATTTATTTATCATTTTAGATATTCAATATGTTAATATACACTGGGATCATATAGTATAAGGCAAACTTATGAATTAACAATTTGAAACTTTGTAATAATTAATTTTTTACTCCTGTTGATGATGTCTGAAGTCTTCCTCTGGTTTTTATTCTTCTATCAAAACATGCTACTAAGAAAATAAGTTTGTTGATGAAGAAAAGTGATGAAAAAGAGAAGAGTAGATTCATGGTAAAACATATCTTCTTCACTTATGACAGCTAATTTGGAGATAAATGGTGAAACATTGTTTTAAGAAAATGATTAATTTTGGAGGTATAGTACAATACAATTATTGGATGGTTACAGTGACAAATTTAGCAGTTTCGATGGTCCAAAACTGTGTACCGTATTTGTTTCCCCTTTTCTATGCATGGATTCGATTGCCCCTACTCTTCTCAGGAGCAGTGGTCCCCATTAATAAAGCCTTCAAATTTATTTTTAATTACTCTTTTTAAAGAATAATGTTTTACCTATCGATAATTCATACATGAACAACAATAACAACATATAAAATTTTATTGTTTTATTTGAAACAACATCAATGAAATTTATATGGAGGATTTGCAGGTCTTTTTCGTGCTTCATGCTTTCCATTCATTGGTGACAACAAGCTGAAAAGTTGCAAGTTAAGTTAGATTATTTGATCCGCAGATATTATTTTGAATTCTGTTTTTTTCAAAAGAACATCATGTGAAATCGATCTCCTAATATTATATCTGAAATAAAATTAATTATGTTACTGCATATTCATGATTATTCAGAATTAATCCAATACAAATCAAATTTATTTAAAACAATTGTATCAACACATTCAAAATGTCTTTATTCAACTTCAACGATGGATCAAAATTATTTTGAGTTCTATTTAACCAAATTAAATTTGTAAAACTAATTTGTTGACTTTTCTGAAGAAAAAAAAAGTTTTTTTTATCGTCTCTTTCATGTATAAGATTCGTTTTTAATCAAAGATAAGTAGCTTTGTCATATTTTCGATTTCACCCTCAGCATCATTACCTTGTAAATCACGGGGAAAAAAAAACACATACACATGTTTACAAAAATTCTGTAAACATAAGTTTGAATAAATTTTATTTCTAAATTGAGTTTGTGAAATCAATTTTATTTTTAACTTAGTTTCAACGTTAATTATACTACAAATTAATTTAATTCACGATTTAACTGAAAAAAAAATCTTTCAGTTTTACTTTTTTTTGACATTTTTTTATCCTTCAAACTGAAAATGTCTTCTTCTTTTTTTAACCAAATATATCATTAATGTCAAGAAAACCTAAAAAACTATTTGAGTGAATAAGATAAAATTGTGTATCTAGTAAGTTAAAAAATTGAATAACCAGTGATATTTTTAAAGTGGTATAAATATAATGTCATTGTAAATTTTTTTTTCAGTCCAAATTCAATAATTTGAGTATTTCTTCACTTTCTTGGAATGATAAAGTCACTTTCCTATGTCACTTTGTTGTTTTTAGAACTATAGGAACGAGCATGACTTTAATGCTTTGTTTGGTTGGAGTGATTTGAGAGAGTGAAAATGAGAGAGTGGAAAAGGAGGGATTTGAAGAGAAATGGAGATAAAGTTAAAGTTGTTTGGATGAATGGAAAGTGAAAGGAAAGTTTATGGAAAATTGTGAATGATTTGATTGATATGAGATATAAAAATTATAATTTTAATTGATTATTTAAAAAAATTACCATTTTACCCTTTGTATAAAATAAGGTTCAAATGATTATAAATATAATTTTTTAATTAATTATCCATATTTTAACATTGATTATATATTTAAAAAAAAACAAATTTAAAAGTGTTTGTAATTGGAAACAAATTTAAAAAATTAACTTTTTTAGATAGTTATTACAAATTATATAAATAAACAATTACAAAATTATGTACATTGCATATCCATATTCAAATAATGTTGACATATTAAAAAATAAATTTTACTAATAATTAAATAATTATAAAATATAAAATAATAATTAATATTGACTAATAATAACAAATAATTATGAAAACTAATAATATAATTGTACATTATTATTTAAAACAAATATAAAATACAATGAAAATAGAATAATAATTAAAGAAAAGATTACTAAAATTATAAATCTATGCACACTAATGCTCTTCAAACAAATAAAGATAATGTTATACATCTTTTGCAGTCAAGTCCTCCAGTTAAGATCATTCAATCACCTCCATTTAAGAACATGAACAACTGGGAGAGACGAAGATGTGAGGGCAAGCCAAAAAGTCGTCTAACATGTGATGGGTGAGTACACAAATGATTATAACACTCGAAGCATAAGTTGCTCGTCATTTAGGTTTATGCTGACTAACATGTCCCATATATCCGACTCCGAATGTTGAAATGTTGATGATCGTCTCATCACATTAACTTGCTCATTAATTAAATCATTTCGCGTTCAATGGCGACCACTCGTCTTTCAGCTATGTCGATAATCGTTGGGTGATTGTATTACCTTGCCCGAGGTAATCCGTAAATGTGTCCAGCCTCGATGTTAGTTTTTCAAATTGACCTTCCATCACATCAACCATAGGCGCTTTTCTTTTTGTGCCCCGAGATGAAGAGGTTCCACCCGAACCGATAGACGCAACGAGATGGAATTGAGTGAGCACCCTCGACAGGACTCGTCGGAACCCATGCGTGGAGGTGATCGATAAGTCGTATCAAATCCTGCATCAAAGCCAAAGTGAAATGGTCGCTCCTCCGGTGTGGGGTCCACATCAACGTTCAAGTCGATCGTTGCCCTTCGAGAACTGATATTCATTCGGCCTCGACGCGAAGTTCTTGCCATATGTCCAGTCGCTCGATCAAGCACCCCACAATTCTTCCATCAAATCATAATGTCTTATAGTTGACAGTTTCCATTTAGCTGCTGAAGGCCTCGCCTACAAAATAATGAGAATGGTTAACACTCGTAATTATTATGTTTTGCTATATCAACAAATGATAATTCATACAATAGTACCTTAATTAGGTCATCCCATACTTCTTCCTCGACCCACAAACCGTTTTGTGATATCATCCCAAGCGAATCCACTAAGTCCATGAAACAAATCGTGGACCTCCCGCCATCTATCCTTAAGACTTTTTTGTCGATTTTTAACATTATTTTTAGTTATACCAATTAATCCAGATCGTCTTAGGGATTCAACTATATTATTATATGCTTGGGTTGTCCAACTACCTTCAACCCGATTACCCAACCTCGCCTCATCAAGCATAGCGATCAACAACCGAAAGTCCATGTCATCGAGTCCATTTTGTAAACTCGCGCACTACAGGTGACGAATTCGATGCAATATCCTTTCCTCTCGTTCATTTTAAACCTATTGGAAAGATAATATATGTAATTACGATACCAACATATAATTATTATAAATAGATAATCGTAATGTAATCGTATTTCAACAATAACAATAGTACATCTTATTAAATATATTATTATATACAAAATCTAATGACTTTGATAATCTATCCACATTTGATTTGCTATAGTATCTCTTAAGTTTGACCCTTCCCTATAATCCTCTTCCCGAACTTGAGTGGACATATTATCCACATCTTGTTCCATCAACTCTCGATCCACTTCAACTAACGGTGATTCATCGTTGTCTATCCCTCGAAGAAAATTGTGTAGAATGCAACATGCTAGGACTATATTCGTCATTGTATCAAATGAATAATGAGGCTCGTTCCACTAGCTATTATAGGAAATCTTTTCTTCAAAACTCCAAATGTTCTTTCAATGACATTTCTAAGAGACGAATGTCGATGGTTAAACAATTCTCGGGGTTTTGTGGAGCTCGTCGAGAATACTCTTTAAGGTGGTATCTAACGCCTCGATAAGGGGTCATTATGTTTGCTTTTAACATAAATCCAGCATCCCCCAAGTAGTATTTACCTATTTAAAATCATTGAAGTTATACTAATTAGAATATTTAAACTAGTTGACTATACACAAAATCCGCATGTTATAAATAATAAACCTTGTGGTATGATAAAGCGATCCTCTCTCGTAAGAACATCCTTTAATATTCTTGAATCAGATGCTGTTCCTTCCCACCCTGCTAGAACATATGTGAATTTCATGTCGAAATCACAAGCTGCAAATACGTTTTGTGTTGGCCAATCTTTTCTTCCACGAAAACGAGGGGCATCTGATCTTGCGACTTTAACTCGAACATGAGTTCCATCTATTGCCCCTAAACAATCCTAATGGATAAAAAATTTATTGTCATTAAAGTTTAGACAATCTATGTGTATGTTATATAGACATAAAGTTGGTAAGTACATTACCTTAAAGTATGGGTAAAATCGGTTGTTGCTTAATATATACAGACACACATCCCTTCCTGATGGTTGAACAATTAATTGTTCGTCCAACATTATTATCTCATTCAACACGTTATGAAAGTGTCGACTAACGGTTTCACCTGATCGATGGAAAAAAAATGAAACAGTTCGATTTTTAACGTTATGTCCGATAATATGGAGAAATTTAGCCACTTGTTCTTCCACTCGTTGATTGTAACCCATCGTTTACTAATCCAGCTTGTCCTTACTCGTTGACACAAGTTAATGAACGCCTCCGGTCCCATGCGAATAATGTGACGAGATTGTTCAGTATGAATAAGGTATGACATCAACTCGTGCCGAC